GAACTTTGATGAAAAATTGGATTTTAATTTTAGCTGGTAAAATTCTGTGTTAACGGTGAGTACACTGAATCACTTGGTACATGGAGAAAGTTACCTGGGAGAAAGTTACCTCAGATTGCCAAATTTGTAACACTAAACTTCGTGAAACAGGCAGATATATAGGGATTTCTGTTTCTCACATTTTCACAACTTGCACATTTTTAAGTTAAGTGTTTGGTAGTTAAGTTACCTATATGTACTGGGATGTTGTTACAGAATTTTACTATGTTCAACCACTAAGTGTCTTAAGGTAGCTCAGTTATAGTGTCCCAGGTGGTTGAAGTTCCAGATGAGGCTGGACTGTATCTTCCCATATTTGTTACACATATGTATCTGATACTGGAAGAAAAGCCCATGAGAGAAATACGTAACACCCAACTGACTTAAAATAAGTAGATGGGCTTATTATCGGACAATATGATATAGTATAGTGTTTCTTACAAAGTAGATATAGATGTGTATGAGCTTATCAAAAGAGCATTAGTGTTATTAAGACAAATAATGTGTGGTGTATCATCTGATATATGAGTAATTATTCATTGTTCTATTGATGATATGTGAACTCTATGACTGACGGCCTTTATGTGGGTGACAGTAACTGTTATAGAATTACATCTTTATGATGCGAATGGGACAAACTATACATGAAGATAAAATTCAGGTTACCATGGTGATATACACTAAATCTACCTCCAGGAAACATTTTAAATGAGAATGAAACTTCCCCTTAATATTTCATAATCTCACCAGACCTCAGGGGTCAACTGCCTAGTCAAAGGTTTGTTAGCTTAGGAAATATCAATGAAAAAGCTGTACTACATCTTCTATCAAATTTTTTTTTTCACCAATCTTTTGAATAAATTATGTTTCTTTTTTTCAAACTTTAGCATATGCCTTTTTGAATTCAATGGAAACACTTCCTCTCAGCTGAATACTGTGAGCCAGACTAATATTTAAACATCAACACAATTTGTCTTAGTGAGACAGTTGTTATTGACTAAAAACTGGTTATGTATGAGGGGCATTTAAAGTGATTAGTGTAGATACCACAAATGATATACAAAAATATTTAGGTCAAACAAGCAATATTAGAAAGTCTTTAGTATATATATATTAGAGAAAAATAGGTTAAAACTGGGACAGGTCATGTTTTTAATCCTTAAACAACAGAGAGTAAAAACTGAAATTAGAAAAGGTGCTGTGTGTTGTAAATATGATTATAAGTTGAATGAAAATTATTTAGAAGTAATGAATCAACTGACTTCTAAATCATTATTATGTCATGATTGACATTAATAGACACGCTTTTTTCTCCAAGAATAGAAAATGTTGACGAATTAGATTTAAAATGTGTATTGACATGGAATTTACCTGTTGAATTTCCCCGGCCTTTGACAGGGATCATTGATCGTCTAATACAGATATCACAATTACTGTAATCTTATTGTAGTAAATAATAATGGCAGGTCATCCTTCTTACATGATATCCCCTCTTTTTTTATTTGGGAGATTTAATAATTATCAACTTCATTGAAGAACACATAACTTAAAATGGAAATTTGCCTGTGACTTGAGTATCTACATCTTAACCCTGTATTTATACAATGACTGGGTCATAATTATCTGCCTTGGAGATGCCCTTGATTTGGAGGTAAAGTTATCACCTTGGCAATAATATCATACCTTTTGTCTCCTTATGATGACTTTGTTCATAGATGCCTACTGTCTCTCTACTGAAAACAGTTGATATGAAACATTGAGGTTTGAAGTAGGAACTTATAACCCGAAAATGTACATCATTTGACAAATTTGTGAGATTCAGAAAATTTCTGAGAAAACTTTCATTTTATAATCATGCAAAGATAAGATCAAAACACATTGAAGTGAGTGATATCATTTAAGAAATACTTGCTGGCAATATTGAACACAAATTGATAAACGTGGAACCTACTTAAAAAGCAAACCAATATTTTATGAAGTTTAGAAGGCTGCCACAAAAAGAAAATTGCACAACCAATCAACATACACAAACGTACAGGTAAAGTGCAATGTTGCAGGTGCTGCACACTTTTGGTGCAGTCACAGCATAGGTAAAATGTAGGTGTATAGTCATTTGAGGGCTCGCTGCATAGTCTGAATAGGGTGTATACTCGTTTATAGTAAATACGAACCGGTTTGGCAAAGATTATAAATCAAGGCATGATCACAAAACGTAAATATCAACAGCTTTTATATCAATACCAATGCAAGATATCATTTTGAGAATTTCTCCGATAAGTTAATTCTTACCATATGATTATAGACAGATTTGAGCTTTTTTTGCTTTTTTAATAAAAGTTGTGTATATTGGAGCTTTAACCACTGTATAGATCCCTAACTATTCATAATGTTAAAATCATGGAAAGTTTTTAATGAAACCTATAGCTCCCATTGTATATCTAGTTCAAATATTTTGTTGGTTTATGTTGAAATGAGAAATGTCTTTTCAGTCAATACTGTGATTTCATAATTGCTGAAGGTATTTATTATTGTCAGAACAAAACAAAATCGGATTTAGACAAAAATTATACTGATTATTGACTTGTCATTTAAAGAGTTGCTACTTTATCATTATCAAAAACAGAAATATCAACGAGATTTTTGTCAAAGTAAATTGTATGGTTTGTACCCTGCTGAAACGTAAATTCTAAGTAGACCCAGATTTTGCTATTTTATTTACTGATACACTTGTTAATATTGGTGATTAAAGGATGATATAGCTGTGGTTAGACTGGTTAATATATGTCTGCAGAGAGTGTGTACAGATACTACAATTACATTGTCCCCTCGTTCCTTTCCACTTTCAATATACAATCACTCTTATTACTAGGTAACACACCCACTGCTTTTTAACACAAGTACCTCAGATGTTCATCAAGTCTGAACCACTGGTTGAATAAACTTTTCACTATACACATGTGTACATACCTATAAACATAGCTACCATTACAGAGGTAGGGAATATCATTTACTACAGCAGGTGAGGAATAACTCGGAAGTTAGATTTAACTGTCAGACATCATTTAGTCACAAACATTCTAAGGACAGTTGGTGAGGAATAACTCCCCATGTAGTCACAAACATTCTAAGTTTTCAGAGGGTGGGTTTTCTTATATTTTTTGAGGGATATGTTATTTCAACATCAATTTCAATTTTTTAAACTTGAGTTTAAAACTACTGATAGAAATAATCACATCCTTTTAAAAACATCATATTTATCTGGCAATAAGTCTGGGGGTCTGAAACATTACCTCTTCCTTAAGGTCAGGGGTGGGCTTATTACAGGACAATAAGCTGTCAGGGTGTAGGCTTATTGCAGGCTGATGGACAATATACATTAATGATGAGTGTTGTGTTAATTGTTTGTTCTGATATACATTGTTTGACTCCCTTTTTAAATCTTTCAGATGGTTGCAGGTACATCATTTCGTGCAGTGACATAACGAAGTTATGATTTCATGACAGAGGAGTTATATAATTTTCGTTTGGATTTATTTATTGTGTTGTGCCTTTACCAATAAATTTTCGTACAATGGATCGGACTATCACAGCAATGTATGGGCTAAAGATGCCGGTAGTAATTTTTATGATTCTTATACCAGGGATACTATCACAAAGTAAGTACTTCTCCGCCATCTTACACTTTTCCTTACTGCCGTTGTTAACAGCCGTAAAGCCTCTCTTCTACTCATATTCTAACTGGTTTTTATTCATAAAAAGTAATATTCATGTAGATGTGTTTGTGACTACTTTTCTATTTTTCATGATTTTATGAATAATTCTGATACTCCTGTACATTTTGTTTGTATGTAAACTGACCTCTTCATCTGAAATGATCCATGATTCTGGTACTATAAAGTAATATTTCTACGTGTTCTTTATTTTGATTTATCAAAACAGTTTATTTTGATTTGAACAATAATCATCTATTTACCAGAATCATGTTACGAAGAGACACTTATAAATTACCTCCTTTCAGTTACATTTAGAATGAAATAGAAGGGAGGTAATTTGTCTCCCTTTAATTTTCAGGCCTTGCCTATTTCATTGTAGCATGCACATTTCCTTTCATTTGAGATTTCTTTTTAAATGAATACATTAGTGTTACAGGAAATTGTTTCTCAGTTGATCTCTGTTAAAAATAGAAATTTATCATATCTTTACACAGAAATTATTAAACTCTTAAAAGATCATTTCTGATCAAAGCTGAAAAATTTCAATTTTTTTATATCAAATCTAAATAAGTTCATAAAAGAACATAATTTTTTTTTTTTTTTTTTTTAAAGTTCATAACTTGCAATATCATTATGCAAATTAAAATATCTTAATGTCTTACATACACCAAGCTTTTAATATTTGCCTAATTCACAAGATACTTTGTCTTTGATATCATCAATGTATCCATTCTTATTCTAAATATGTATACACAGTATCTGTAATTTTCTCCTATGTATTTAAAGTAGTTGGTAGATGATTTAACTTAGAAATTAATCATTCAAATTGGATTTCTATCTTTGTTCCAATCACTTCTTGTCTTTCCATTCATCTGTCATCAGTTCCTCCATCTATCCCTTCATCATTCCATCAGTGATTTTGTCAAGTCTATCAATTTCAGGATCTGAACCGCAGATTGTAATTGTCAGAATTAAATTCTGATACTGATATATTGAAGATTGAATCAGGATGATTTTAATGTTCATTCTAGAAATATATTGTTTATTCATTTTGGCAATTCAAAAAATTTAATTTCTCTTTGAAATGACAAAATTTGAAATTCTTTTAGACTTGTTAAAAAACAAGTTTGAAATTGTAACCAAAAATTGAAAAAAAAAAAAAAATGGAAACTGCGTGTAGTTTATTAATAAGTATATATCCTGATTTAACTTTTCTTTATCAGAAATATTTTTATTGTGTGTGTGTGTGTCGATGTTGATAACATTTTAGCTGCACCGGGTAATCCTGTGATTACCAGTCCTACCGTCAACATCGTTCGAGAAGGGGCAGTGAACTTCACGTGTGAAACTGTTGGTGGAAGCCCCACCCCCACAGTCAAGTGGTACAAGAATAATGTTCTGATGGATGAATCATCTTTTACGGATTCTTCCTCTGGGGTCTCAGTCCAGAAAAATGTTTACAGCACAGTCATTCAGTTCAGTGACAAGAACATTCCTTTTAAATGTGAGGTGGAAAATGCGGCCACGACGTCACCACTTATAGCGAACAAGACCTTGATCGATATTTATGGTAAGTTATCTGACTTTAGATTTTACTTTATAAAAAGTTCCTCTAAATATTTAATTAAAAACACTTTTAGTCCATCAAATATTCTTGTGTCAATGGTGTATTATCTGCCCTTAGATAATTCTTGTTATCGCTATTTCTTGAGAAATGTAGAATTGATTTTACTCAAAAGTTCATAAGGTTCTCCTTAGTCCTAACACTGATTCTGTGGATCAGAAAAACAAATGGTTGACCAATATAGCAATTCTGCATCTTGCATTATTACATTTAAACTTTGTAATCACTATATCTTTAGCAGAATTTTAGGAATCTTTTCCCAATGTGTAGATTTCTCTTGATTGGCCTAGTGTTCATTCCATTTTGAGAACAACTGAGGAAAAGATGGCTGACAGGAAGCATGTTGGATTGGGAATAGCGAAGTTTGAAGTTCGTTATCACTATTTCAGAACAGATATATTCCCCCTAATTAGTGACCAGTAAATTTTAAGACAGATCAGTGACAGGCATAGGTTTTGAAAATCAAGGCTCAATGCTATTGAGGTTTCATGAGAAATACCAAGTTTTTCTCAGGTTTCATTTGTAAGTTCCCTTTGGTCCCTCACTGTGTCATCTCAGTTATTAGTTTGATAAAAAAAAACCCAAAATAGCAGAGACATGATCGTCTTGTATTTCAAATACAGATATCTTTGTACTGAATAGATCATCTTCAAATACCATATTCTGTACATAGTTTATTATCAGACTAAAAAGAAAGATCAAATAGGGACCATAGAAAATTATAATCAAGTTTAATATTTAGACCAGGGCCCATATTCATGAAACCATTCTCATGCTCAAGCATAGATTTTTTTCTCAAGCAGACTTCTTTTAATTCGCCTAAATCATATAAAATAATACAAATGTCAAATATAAACATTGAATATCACTTTGACTTGAAGTCCTTTCAATTTTTTAAAAAAAATATTTGGCAAAATCAGCCTTATTTATTAATTTTTAACTTAAACAATACATAAGTCTTGAGCATAAGGATGCTTTCATGAATATTTAGACCAGGTGTTCTGGAATGAAGTGCTGTCTGCTTCTCCTAGACATATTAACTGGTAAAAACCGAGATATTGAACAACAAGACCTGAATATTTAGACCAGATGTTCTGGAATGAAGTGCTGTCTGCTTCTCCTAGACATATTAACTGGTAAAAACCGAGATATTTAACAACAAGACCTGAATATTTAGACCAGGTGTTCTGGAATAAAGTGCTGTCTGCTTCTCCTAGACATATTAACTGGCAAAAACCGAGATATTTAACAACAAGACCTGAATATTTAGACCAGATGTTCTGGAATGAAGTGCTGTCTGCTTCTCCTAGACATATTAACTGGTAAAAACCGAGATATTTAACAACAAGACCTGAATATTTAGACCAGATGTTCTGGAATGAAGTGCTGTCTGCTTCTCCTAGACATATTAACTGGTAAAAACCGAGATATTTAACAACAAGACCTGAATATTTAGACCAGGTGTTCTGGAACGAAGTGCTGTCTGCTTCTCTTAGATATATTAACTGATAAAAATAGAGATATTAAACAACAAGACTTGAATATTTAGACCAGGTGTTCTGGAATAAAGTGCTGTCTGCTTCTCCTAGACATATTAACTGGTAAAAACAGAGATATTAAACAACAAGACTTGAATATTTAGACCAGGTGTTCTGGAATGAAGTGCGGTCTGCTTCTCCTAGACAAATTAACTGATAAAAGCAGAGATATTGAACAACAGCAAGACCTGCATGTCAGTCTGAAATCATGGATAGATTCTTTTCACAATCATATATGGTAATGTTAAAACTTTCCCAGATCACCCTCATTATGCCTATATAAGCTAAACATGGCTTGAGATATACATGTACGTGTACGTCAAAACTCTTTATCTTTTTACTGATTATTTTCAATTGCGAATTTTCTTAAATGAAATATTGTGTTTCTTTTACAGTTGAGCCATCCAGTCCGATCTTACAAGGGAACTCATCCATCACTGTAAACGTTAGTCAGTCATGGACATGCTACACGAATCGGTCATATCCAGTTCCCATGTTTACGTGGAAACTAGACTCGATTCCCATCACATTTGGTATATCTACAGCCATATCTCAGAACACAGATACCACTTACTTTACCAGAAGTAGTTTGACATATATGCCAGTTTCTGGAGACAATGGCAAAGTCCTAATGTGTGAGGTTGATCATTCACAAACACTTTCGTCCCCTTTACAGAGAAATATAACACTCCAACTCGCGGGTAAGGAACATTGCTCTTTTTTGGTGTATGACTCTGTGCCACCTCAGATAGAAGTTGTGATTTTAATTTCACATAAACATTTAAATGAAAAATGAAAAAAATTATCTCCCTTTGGAAATTTGTAAAAAGCATAATTATATTTTGTAATTGATTTTCAGGCCAATGAATTATAAAATGGCATATGATATGTAGGGATAGTTTTTATGGACATTACTTTGTATGAGGACAAAATTTAAATTGGCAGGGATCAACTTAAGGGGTGAGGGATATATGGAAAAAGCAGTGTTTCTGGAAAGCATGATATTAACAGAATGATGATATTAACTGACATGACATTAAGCAGCTTCCATTGTATTACAATGATCTTCAGGGGTGATATTTAAGAAATACAAAAGTGTCTTTTCGTTGTTAGCTTGCTTCAGTGTTAAAGAATTATAGATAACCTAGAAAACAATTTCCTGGTCAGTTTTCATGTTACAGCAACAATGTATTTCATTTAGGTGGGGGTAAGTTGAGGGTGGGGAGATGGGAACTTCCATAGATGCCTTTTTTTAAGAATTTCGTTTTTTTTAAGAATTTCGTTTTTTTTAAGAATTTCTTTTATTTTTTTTTAAGAATTTCTTTTATTTTTTTTAAGAATTCTTTTTTTTAAGAATTTCTATTTTTTAAGAATTTCATTGCACAGTTTACATTGGATCTTGGATGTTTAACTGAAAATAATGTACATTTCATCAGTTTATTGTAAATAATTCTGGTTGTAAACAATTTTCCCAACAGGTAGTGGTATGTATCTTCACCACATTTATCTTAGTAGACAGTGCTTAGATCATAGTCAGACCCAACCTCACAATATGATGATGCAAATTAGGCATGTGCTTTACACGTTTAACATTTTCAGGGATAATTCAAGTGCATGTTTAAATTGACACAATTTTAGAGCAGGCATTTTTGCTTTGAATTGTAAATTTTGAGCATAGTGCATGTTTATTACACCCTGTAGTCAGTTGTGCTGATCATTCTTAAAAAATGTTAAAATATCAGTTGTTCTAAAAATTTTCATGTATGAGTCAGTTTTAGACTTCCCAGTGATATAAGTAACAAAGGAAAAATATGAAAATAGAAATTAATTTTTTCTATTTGTAAATTAATTCCACTTGATAACCACTCTTCATTTGAATATGTAAATTTCTATCTATAGCTGTAACAGTATCAGTAAATCGGTTAAGAAAATTAGTTTATGATTTTCCAACGGTTTAGCCTTTAGACTTGTTTTGTATAATTTACTAATTCAGGATCATTTATCTAGAAGATCTAAGATGATGGCATGCATAATTCCTGTAGCTCAAATGAAATTAAGAAAAGTTAATGAAAAAATGATCAATATTTTTCTGAAATTAGTCCTCTGCATTTTTTTTTTTCACTTTTTGTATAAAATATTATAGAATATAGAAAATATTGTGAATATCTAAAAAAAAAGGTGATTATATATTGAAATGGTTATAGGGATATACAAAAAGAATTAAATCTAGAAATATCTCTAAATCACTGGTAGAATAGGTGAGACAGTTGGCTTTTGCGTTGTTTAAATTTAATGATGTTCACTGTAAGATAGATTCAGTGATTTAGAGATATCTAGCAATGTTAAAGGGTAGTACAGGGTTTCATGGGGGTAGAGAGGTGACATGAAGTATTATTAACTTACTGTTTAAATTGTGTTTAAATGCACTTCATGTTATCTGATCTTTTCACATACATGTACAAGGTATTATTAGTGCTGTACACTTTGTGTCATTAGTAATTTCACAAAATTATTGCTTTGTTTTTATAAAAAAATAAATGAAGAAAATAGAAGATATAGAATTAATAATGAACTAATTATATTCCAGGTTCTGTTCTTTGGAATTCAATGAAAATGATGTGTTGAAATTTTTATTGAAAACATCAGTTTCTATAATCATATGTATGTTAAGATCATTACATCATATCGCATTATATATTATAGATAAGGCTTGTACATGTATCATTAAAGAAAAAAATAAGCCAAAAATTATTTTAAAAAATCCTGTCTTTACAAAATTACTGTCCTTGCAGGACATTTTGATGTATACATACTGAATGGTGTTTTTTAACATGCTGTATACACTTAATTTTTGGCTTGTTTGTAATAAAAGATGAACTTCATGTGCATTACAATATTATGATATACTTATTCATGCGTCTGACCTTTGAACTTGGTCATTTGTTTGTTTCACCAGATGTTAACTCAGGTACATTTTTCTATCTTTTCCATATCACTTCTTTCTGTCACTTTTTCTTCTTTCTGTCACTTTTTCTTCTTTCTGTCACTTTTTACTATCTCTCCATCATTTTCCTTGGGAATATATCTTGTGTGCTGCATTTCATTAACTCTTTGTTACACTGTTTCTTTTTTCTGTTTTGAATTGGTTTGATGGTAAACTTTGTGAAATAGTGATGTTATATTTTTTATCCTAACAGGTTTTGTGAACTAACAATTGCTGATTAATAACACATCAGTTTTGATTTTACAATGCATGGATATCACAGCCGAATTCTTTACTGTTTTTTTTTATAAATAATATATAGTAATCTCCTTCACATGTTATGAATTTAATGATAACTCACTGATATTTTATGAATTTTATAAATAATATATATAATTCTTCTTCATTTATTATAAATATAATGATAACATACTTATTTCTTTATATATTGTGAAGCTATGAATATTTTTATATGTGATTTTTTTGTGGTTCGTTTAAAATTTGTAGATGAAAATCAATGTTTTGTTTAGTATTTATAACATGTGTATGATGATATCTATTGAAGTTTATATGATTGCACTATAAATTTCATTATCATGCAATGTTTTGTAATCTGAGAAAAAATTATCTGTTTTACTGTTAAAATTAACATATATATCTATGATAAGCAATGATATTTATTACCTCCCCTTACTTTTACAGATATATGATGTGATTCTCCCTGATAACTCCTAAAACTACCAGTTCACCATTGATATATATTACCTCCCCTTACTTTTACAGATATATGATGTGAACCTCCCTGATAACTCCTAAAACTACCAGTTCACCATTGATATATATTACCTCCCCTTACTTTTACTGATATATGATGTGAACCTCCCTGATAACTCCTAAAACTACCAGTTCACCATTGATATATATTACCTCCCCTTACTTTTACAGATATATGATGTGATTCTCCCTGATAACTCCTAAAACTACCAGTTCACCATTGATATATATTACCTCCCCTTACTTTTACAGATATATGATGTGATTCTCCCTGATAACTCCTAAAACTACCAGTTCACCATTGATATATATTACCTCCCCTTACTTTTACTGATATATGATGTGAACCTCCCTGATAACTCCTAAAACTACCAGTTCACCATTGATATATATTACCTCCCCTTACTTTTACTGATATATGATGAGGTCCTCTATTGTAATTCCTTAACTCCAAGTATACCTGTGATAATATATGACATTTTTTAAAACCATTTTTTTTTTCTTACAAATTACCTTGAATTGATTACAGTATCTGTTCCCACTATGACAATTCAACACACATCATACCCTGCCACAATCGGCTCTCCAGTCACACTGCAGTGCACTGCAAGTGGTGCCACTTCCTTCACATGGTTATTTAACGGGGCTGCTGTAACAAATAACCCGTCATTGGTCAGTTTTGGGAGCCTCCCTAATCCATCTTTGACAATCCTGAACGTGAGCAGTAGTGATGTCGGCAGTTACATTTGTCGTGGCACAAACAGTGGGGGTACCTCGGACAGTCCAGCCATTTCTCTGGCGTTTAGTATGTACGATATAATGGTAGCTAGGATAGTTATGACAATATACCTGCTGATGACATAATAACATATCTGCTTATGCTGATAACCTGCCTGTAGTCAACAAAAGGATATATATATAGTTACCTGATGCCTGAAGTAGGTAGCTAAGAACTTCCAGTACGATACAACAGGCTAGTTATGAGATAGTTGACGTCTACCTGCCTTTCACATTTGGACTTACTTGAGAAACATACTTGCTTATATCAGTTATATAGGCCAAAAATGCCACAATATTTACGGTCACTTTCTGCCTTACAAAATCAGTTTTGATTTTGCCTCACTCCTGACAGCCTTCATACCTGATCCATGACATACTGATTTGTTATTTCATATATACAAAAATCCCATATCAAAAGTTTTATTGTATACTATTGAAATTTTGCGCATTTTTCTCCTGTTAAGAAATTGTTGATCTAATCCCTGTAGGGATGAGAAGGGACTGTTTAATGTTGAAGTGCATGTGACTGAGAGGAGTTTACCTTACACAATACCATATTTGGAAACTTCAAATTTCACTTTCAGAAGATATAACTTCACTTATTTTATTGTTACTAGGCTGCTTATCATCACCATAGCAAACATATCAGAAGTAACTTGTTAATGGCCACAGTATACAATAGCAAAAATAAAAATACCCTGTGTAAAATCCTGATACAACAAATTACAAGTGTTGCTCAATCCTTGATTATCCACTACCCCTTTATCCTTGATTTATATACTTGCCCTCTGATCCTTTATCAGCTGCCTCCCAATTCCTGATTATAAACCTGCCCCCACTCCTAAATCTTGATTATAACCTGTCCTCCCAAATCCTTGATTTATAAATCTTCCCCCCAATCCTGGATTATAAACCTAAACCTATCCTCCCAAATCCCTAATTTATAAACCTGCCCTCAGATCTATTGATTATAAATCTGCCCCCTAATTCTTGATTATATACTTGTCCCCAATCTTTGTTCTATATATCCCCCCAATCCTTGATTATGTACCTGTCCCCCCCAAATTATTGATTATAAATCTGCCCCCTAATTATTGATTATAAATCTGCCCCCTAATTATTGATTATAAATATGCCCCCTAATTCTTGGTTATAAATCTGACCTGAATTCTTGATTATAAATCTGCCCCCTAATTCTTGATTATAAATCTGCCCCCTAATTCTTGATTATAAATCTGCCCTGAATTCTTTATTATAAATCTGCCCTGAATTCTTTATTATAAATCTGCCCCCTAATTATTGATTATAAATCTGACCTGAATTCTTGATTATAAATCTGCCCCCTAATAATTGATTATAGATCTGCCCCCTAATTATTGATTATAAATATGCCCCCTAATTCTTGATTATGTACCTGACCCTCCAAATTATTGATTTATAAATCTGCCCCCTAATTATTGATTATAAATCTGCCCCCTAATTCTTGATTATAAATCTGACCTGAATTCTTGATTATAAATCTGCCCTGAATTCTTTATTATAAATCTGCCCTGAATTCTTTATTATAAATCTGCCCCCTAATTATTGATTATAAATCTGACCTGAATTCTTGATTATAAATCTGCCCCCTAATAATTGATTATAGATCTGCCCCCTAATTATTGATTATAAATATGCCCCCTAATTCTTGATTATGTACCTGACCCTCCAAATTATTGATTTATAAATCTGCCCCCTAATTATTGATTATAAATCTGCCCCCTAATTATTGATTATAAATCTGCCCCCTAATTCTTGATTATAAATCTGACCTGAATTCTTGATTATAAATCTGCCCCCTAATTCTTGATTATAAATCTGCCCCCTAATTATTGATTATAAATATGCCCCCTAATTATTGATTATAAATCTGACCTGAATTCTTGATTATAAATCTGCCCCCTAATTCTTGATTATAAATCTGCCCTGAATTCTTGATTATAAATCTGCCCCCTAATAATTGATTATAGATCTGCCCCCTAATTATTGATTATAAATCTGCCCCCTAATTATTGATTATAAATCTGCCCCCTAATTATTGATTATAAATCTGACCTGAATTCTTGATTATAAATCTGCCCCCTAATAATTGATTATAGATCTGCCCCCTAATTATTGATTATAAATATGCCCCCTAATTCTTGATTATGTACCTGACCCTCCAAATTATTGATTTATAAATCTGCCCCCTAATTATTGATTATAAATCTGCCCCCTAATTCTTGATTATAAATCTGACCTGAATTCTTGATTATAAATCTGCCCCCTAATTCTTGATTATAAATCTGCCCCCTAATTATTGATTATAAATATGCCCCCTAATTATTGATTATAAATCTGACCTGAATTCTTGATTATAAATCTGCCCCCTAATTCTTGATTATAAATCTGCCCTGAATTCTTGATTATAAATCTGCCCCCTAATAATTGATTATAGATCTGCCCCCTAATTATTGATTATAAATATGCCCCCTAATTCTTGATTATAAATCTGCCCCCTAATTATTGATTATAAATCTGCCCCCTAATTATTGATTATAAATCTGACCTGAATTCTTGATTATAAATCTGCCCCCTAATTCTTGATTATAAATCTGCCCCCTAATTCTTGATTATAAATCTGACCTGAATTATTGATTTATAAATCTGCCCCCTAATTATTGATTATAAATCTGACCTGAATTATTGATTTATAAATCTGCCCCCTAATTATTGATTATAAATCTGCCCCCTAATTATTGATTATAAATCTGACCTGAATTATTGATTTATAAATCTGCCCCCTAATTATTGATTATAAATCTGCCCCCTAATTCTTCATTTTAAATCTGCCCCTAATTATTGATTTATTTACTTGTCCTATAATCCCTGATTTATATATTTGTCCCGCAATCTTTTATTCATAATCCTCCCTACATCCCCATACCCCAATTCATGATTATATTTCAATGGGCCCCTCTTCAGTGATTTATATACTAACCCTTATGCTTAATCCTTGATATTCATTGATAAATAGTTGATTTAGTGTACTACCATGAAGTAAAAAATCACCTTAATCATGTAAGAGGTCACATTACATAATTTTTTTAACTAAAAACCATAATCACTGTGTAAACATCACCTTTGCAATTTTAAATGATGCATGTGGCTTTTAACATTGTACATGTGGTGGCATGTTGTATACAATAGTTACCTCCCTTAAAACTTAAAAACTTTTGACTCTTTCTGTAGATTATTTTAAAATCCACTAAGAATGGCTCTTTTTAGTATGTACCAGAGTTATCTCCCTTAAAACTTGTACCTCTGTGTGGAATATGTTATCAGTTATTCTGTGTGGCTCCCGTAAGGCTGTTTGCTACTGTATACATTGTTCTGGAGCTACCTCCCTTTAAACATTTAATTGTTGTTATTAAATGAATCTGAATTACTTTAATATTATCAGTATAAATATCCTTTAAAATTCTTTGAAGATATCATAATTTCAATTGATAAAATCTGTTTTATGGGTTTTTTTTATAAGAGAGATTACAGTATGGGTTGATTTTCATGCTTTGTTGTAAGACTCAGCATGAAAATACTTTGGTCTTATATTGTCTGCTTGAGACAATGTTCAGTGTGCCATTGTAAGTGCCTTAATTAAAGAGTTATTTCCCTTCTTTGAAATTTCGTGTCAGAGCATTACTTTGCCAGCATTTAAATAAACTAGGATATTGATATAGGATGTATACATCAGTCATACAAATGGAAGCTGAAATGTAGCAAAGTCTTGGCCCATGACTTCTCAACTACAGACCCTTTGTTAAAATTTTGTGTTACTATTTGAATCTGTCAACATGTTCAAAAATATTTTTGTACTTGTTTCAAGTAGCAATTCACATATTGCCTTTTGTCAGGTGATCCAATAATTTCGACTGTCCAGACATCATACGACGTAACAACAGGTAACACCGTAACATTATCATGCTCCTACACCAGTACCACCACTGTATCTTCTGTCTATTGGGAGGTCACCAAAAGTGGAACTACTACCACAGTCAGTACATCACCTGCACGAATTTCTGGTTCAACGTTGTCCTTTCCATCCCTTGTCATCAGCAATGCAGAGATAGATGACTCTGGGTCATACAGATGCTTTGCAGTCAATACTGTAGCAACTGGAGGAGGCAGTTTTATCAGCCTTTCAGTGACAGGAGGAAGTAAGTCTGTTTTCTGGCTAAAAGTAGCATTTCTTTTGTCTACCTATAAACAGTTAATTATGCAGCATTTGAGGTAAGTATTTTCTTGATAAGGTTTTGTTACTTTAATAATATATATCAAGATAATTATTTCCAAATTATGAAAATCTACATTAGTAAATTTACTGATTTGTGAACAACTTTCCCTTTGAATATCATTCAATTTGTGTATTAAAGTTCACAATTCAGAAAATTTCAAATGTAAAAAGGTCAAACCATACCCAGAAAAAGCGAAATAAATATCACTACTTCTCCTTGTATCATAATGTAAAATTAACATATATCTCAGTTATCTCCCTTTATCATTATATAAAGATAAGGTAAATTTCACAATTCTCTCACTATATCATTATATAAAAATAAGATAAATTTCTTAGTTATCTCCTTTTATCATTAGATAAAGATAAGGTAAATTTTACAGTTATTTCCCTGTATTATTATATGAAAATAAGATAAATTTCTCAGTTATCTCCCTGTATCATTATATGAAAATAAGATAAATTTCTCAGTTATCTCCCTGTATCATTATTTTAAAATGAAAAAATATCACAGTTATCTCCCTTTATCATTATGTAAAAATAAGATAAATATAACAGTTATTTCCCTGTATTATTATATAAAAATAAGATAAATTTCTCAGTTATCTCCCTGTATCATTATTTTAAAATGAGAAAATATCACAGTTATCTCCCTTTATCATTATGTAAAAATAAGATAAATAAAACAGTTATTTCCCTGTATTATTATATAAAAATAAGATAAATTTCTCAGTTATCTCCCTGTATCATTCTATAAAAATAAGGTAAATTTTACGGTTATCTCCCTGTATCATTATTTAAAAATAAGAAAATATAACAGTTATCTCCCTTTATCATTATGTGTTGACAAGGTTTGACTGTTTTACAGAATCTGCTCTATACAGCACACTAGAATTCTCGTTTTTAATCCTGCTTATAGGCTCTTGTCTAATACAGACACCTGTCTACATCAAAATGCAACATATGCAATTAATCAAAGCTTGTAATGTGCATGAATGTATCTTTTTTGCCTTTATTTTTTCAGTTTTTTAAAGGAGCATTCTGAAATGCAATCTAATATTTGCAATGCTTTAATACAGAATCTCTGAGATTCTGGAGTACAATTGTATCACAAAACTTTTCCACTTTTAATATGTTTATCAGACAAATATTATTTATGATTTGTTGTAAGAGATTTTCTGCCATTTGTTCACACCCATAAGTCATTAAGAAACAATTAAGCCATAAATATTTTGTTTATCATTTATTTTATTTATTCAGTCAATATCTAATATATTTATTGTCCTTAAAGCTTTAATTGATTAAGAGTGATTTAAAAGTGGAAAGGTTTTGTTATTCAATGGTATAACTATACTAATGCTTATATTTTTTTCTGTCATTGTAGCACAGCTTGTGGAGACAGTTAGATGTTAGAGAAATGTATTTTAAGATTTGCTTTTTTGCATTCCTTCCCCTTTTTCTGTTTCCTTTATTTCTCTCACTGATATTTCATATTGAGAGTATTTGACCCAAAATAATCTTAGTTGAAAAATATTTTTAACAGGGTATAAAATCTTTTTGATTCATTATGTTGAATGTCAAGCACATTTTCAAATGATCTGAAAATGTCAGGATAAAAATGAGGCTTTATTTTTACTTGAATTATAAATCTTGACTATTGAATATGTTTGATGGATTATTGAAGATAAGTGTTTGAAGCAGATGACACAACAGGTGTCCTGAAAACAAATCTGATGTATTTATGTCCTTCAGAAAGGGAGGTAACTCCTATGTAAAGGTTACTTGAGGTCAGATATTGTTCAAATAACAAAATATTAAGCACCTTGTATGTTTATCCTTCTTCTGTCTTCTTCCTTCTTATACCCTGTGTGTGTCCTATCAGCACCCTCTGTGTCTATCAGCCAATCAGCTTACAACGTTAGTTCAGGAACTTCAGTAACACTCTTAGTCAATGTGACTGCCAGCCCGGCCATAACATCAGTCACTTGGCAACGTTTATTTACCAATGGTACTCGGCAAAACATCACTGTGGATGGATTTAACTATGGAGGTGGCCTGGTCAGTTCTCCATCACTCATCATCTACAATGTTGACGGAAACGATGCCAGCAGTTACATCTGTCAGGCCACAAACAGCTTGGGCACCAGTGAAAGCGGTATCATGGACCTTACTGTAAGGGGAAGTAAGTACCGACTTGTACCTGAACTAGACCACCATTGTAGTGACAGTAATGCTTTGTTCGTGTGATTAATACAAAAACTGGAAAAAAAAGTCATATATCAGTTATTTAAGCAAGTATCATCACATTGTTTGATGTTTGCCTTAATAAAGAACCCTCCACCAGTTTGTAGTGGTGAGAGGGTCAGGATGTTGTTCCTGGTGGTGTTAACTTTAAGGTCAAAGGTCACATTTATAAACAACCTCTGTTAATTCAGCAAACAAATGCCTAAGAACAGGGTCGTTCATGTCTTCTGGACATTTTGTAGTCTCTTCTCTGAATTAACTGCCTTATGATTCATACAATGTATCTAATGAAGGCATTGTTATACTTCATATCAAAACTTTCCTTTTCTGTTTGTTGAACGATGTTCCTTCAAAGTTTTTTGGTAAAACTGTCATTGTCGTGTTGCAGATATCCCCTCTGTGATGATTAACAGTTCTGCTTATGATGTCTTTCTCGGAGATACAGCCATACTTCAGGCCTCTGTTTCAGCAAGTGTTGGCTGGGAGATCACCACAGTATACTGGAAACGCTCAATGTCAAACAATGTCACAATTACCCTCAGTATTGATGGAGACAAGTACGAGGGGGGTTCTGTTAGCTCCCCAACATTGACCATCAACCAAGTTGATAGCGGTGATGAGGGAAATTATGTCTGTTACGCAGTGAACAGCATCGGAATCAGCAAAAGTGGCACCATCACTTTGTCTGTCATCGGCAGCAAGTATTTCTTTATCACACCACGAGTACAGTTTCTGTATGTACAGCTGTCACACACTTCCACAACTATTCGTAGTAGCCATGTTGTTACAAGGCTGTAAAATCACTGAAATCCTGGTCACTATTAGGCCACCCAAAATTTCTCTACTTTAAAGAGACGTGATCAATGGTGATTCAGTGATTACACTCATTATGAGCTCAACCAATCCTTGACCAAGATGATGACCATTGGTGACCCTGACTCATTGTGAGGATAGATTCTGTTTTGGTGTCTGTTCTGGCTCCCACTGAAGACATAAAGCATAATTAAAGGCCTAACTGGAGGCATAGTTTTCAAAGTTTGGTTATTGTTGTTGCTGTGAGGTAACATTAAATAGATAGTCTCACCGCCAGCCTTAATTAAGATGCCGAATTACTGTTGGATAAAGCTGTTTGTATTTGTCATTATAATAAATTGTCTGACAGAATCCTGAGTTAATTCATGGACCATTTAGGGACTTTGGATGGAAGATATAAACAGCTGTTCTCTACCAGTGTCATCAGATTTCTGTAGGTGATAACAGTTTGGTAAAACCATCCACCAGTCAGCTTAATGTGTGATATGGTATACATTTCCTCCAATATCATCCATGGAACATGGAGGGTACTTTTCCTCCATTGTCATTCAAGGGACATAACCACGAGTGTATGTCAGTCTGCATTGACAGTTGGCAATTAGAGCTTGTCTTGGCATTCATGATTGGTTGAGGTCCATTCATGTTACACTTTCTACTTCCTGCTTAGTCTATTTATGGAAGGGGTGTGGCAGCTGCCCATACAACAGGGGAGGTAATTAAGGGGAGACAATTCAAAAGGGAGAATTTTCTTCACTCCTATTGGAGAGTTTAAAAGGGAAAAAGACTCCTGTTTATTGTGATACTATTGAAAATAAGTATATATCTACAGTATACTTCATTTACGGTACGTATGAACACTTTTTGCCATAAGGAGCAAGAAATTGCAGCAATGAAAAGTTTGTGATATTGATTTTACTGATGAAGGTTTCCCAAAATAACTGTTATATCGAATAATATAACATTAATAGTTTATTATGAATATAATGAGTTAGGCTAACTGAAGTGTTACCATTGACTTATTCAACACCTATAACAAACCATATGTTAATTATGAAAAAAATTGTTGACTCATAGAAATAGGTATATCAGTCTAATGTGACTATATTAATATATCAATCTTACGTGACTTCTACAACCATTTAATATTTAGTTCTAGAAAAAGGTTGACAATGATAAAATAGAATGTGACAGACTTTGATAACTGACAGCCAACATTATCTAAAATGTCTATCATGTTTTTTAAGTGACTGAAATTATTTTTCAATATCTGTGCAGTGATTTAAATATGGTTGCATATGCACTTACAATTTATGTCAGATTTTGAGAAGTTTATTAAGAGTTAAGGCCCTTTTCTGTTATCTGAACTGTCATCCAACATTTTCTATTTATCAAACTTTGTGAAGTTATGCCCCTTTTCTGATGCTGAAGCTTCTAATACAACTAAAACTGACTCAAGTTGGCATATAGTCAGGATGAAGGTTTAAGTCGTTGTAGATAAATGAATATGATACTGTTGATATGTTCAACAAAGTTCAAATTTATCTGAAATTGCTGAAGTCTCCAGATTTCATGAAGAATTTAAGATCTGTATCCATTCCTGTAACACCTGATAAGGATTGAGTACAGTTAACAGTTAGGATAATGAATAAAATACAACGTTTTACAGTATTTGTGTGACTCTTTGTCACCCTTGTCTCTGAGTTTGTAACAGTCCACCCTACTCTCACTCCCTCTCTGTGACCTCTAATGAAATTGACCTCTGTCATTATTTCAATCTCATTTTTTCTTTTTCTGAATATGTTTAATTTGGGACTTCAGAGGATGCCACACCCTGTTCAGAGGCTGAGTTTTGTAGAGGACCAGGAAGATGAATGCAGATTTTTTTTTTAAATTTCAGATATGATAACCAGTGCTTAAAAAGACAATTGATGTGTGATAAAAAAAGCGTTTAGTGATAATGAACAAGCATTTTTAATTCATAATAATTCTTAAATTTCAGGAGTGTGCCTGTAACTGTCAACAACATTTTACTCTGACTAATAATTAAACGTCGAAATTTCATCTGACAACACAATACACCTCCTAATCATAGAACTAAAATTTCAGGTACCCCTACTATTACTGTGCCAACAACATCGTACTCCGGCACTACGGGGTCCACTATAGAACTCTCCTGTTCTGTATCGGGAAGTCCATCTGTTACCTCCGTCTTTTGGCAAAAACTAAGTAGCAGTAACGTTTACACCACTTTATCGATCGACGGATCTAATTATGGTGGATCAACAACCAGTTCTCCGAGCCTCCTCATCTACAATGCCAATTCTGCTGATGCTGGGTCATACTTGTGTAAGGCTTCCAACAGTCTGGGCACAAGTCAGAGTGCTGCTATATCAGTCTCTGTATCAGGAAGTAAGTAATTCAAATATTTGAAGAGTTATTGTCCTTGGTCTTATTTCAATCCTGTATTGAGATTTTCTATTTCAGTGTGTGACAAATCAGTTAGAAACCTCAAAGGTTTAATAATAGTGAGCACATCGTTTTGATGTGAATTTCTTGATACGATTCCATAATTTTAGCACAACAATGTTATGAAGTTACGTAAAAGGATATATGTATTTGTTTCCCGTTGTATGCTAATTGTTCTTCCATTAAAGTATAAACCTTGTTTGGGACTTTTACAGCTGTGCCAACTGTCAGTATCAGCCAATCGAGTTACAGTGCCTCTTTTGGTAGTACTATAACACTCATCTGTTCTGTGTCTGCATCTCCTGCCGCGAGTAATGTTTTCTGGCAGCGTACCAGCAGCGGAGTCACAAACTCCGTAACCATTGACAACTCGAAATATGGCGGATCTTTGACATCCTCTCCTTCTCTTGTGATAAACAGTGTTGATTCTTCAGACAATGGCATCTATGTATGTTTTGCCACAAACAGCGTGGGCACAGGTCAAAGTTCACAGACAACTCTCACTGTGACGGGTAGTGAGTATAACAAAAAACCATTAATTGTACAATTTTGAATATTTTATGGAGAATATCTATATCTCATATTGATAAAACTTTGCAGATAAAGTCAGTATGTAATTACATTATGTCAGAGTGATGTTTTCTGTTTGAATTAATGCCTTTTAATTGATATTGTTACATGAAGTTGTTTGAGAGACTGGATACATTTAATTTAAATGTTTAGTGTAGGATATTAATTTTTACTTGACTTTATTTTCAGATGTGCCAACAGTAACAGTATCTCAGTCCTCGTACAGTGTCAATTTTGGGACAAGTGTTACTCTTGGTTGTTCAATAACAGCGAACCCCTCACATACCTCCGTGTTCTGGCAACGAAATGTTGGTTCAGGAACGCAGTCAGTTACCATCGACAACGTTAACTTTTCTGGTTCAACAGTTAGCTCCCCTTCCCTTACCGTGATCTCTGCCAGCAGTTCTGACTCGGGATCGTACAGATGTTTTGCTACAAACTCTATTGGGACAGGTCAGAGTGGCTTCACTACCCTCTCTGTAACGGGCAGTAAGTATTTACATAAGTTTTCAGCGATATGGGTTTAATACTCGTGTATGAAGTTATTTCTTACCTGAAATCCTCATTAAATTTCTATCCCTCATTGTAAGAAAATTAATTTTGTAATGCATAGCAGTTAGAATATCACAAGATGGAATCAATGACTTTTTTAATTAATAACATGAGGTAAAACGTTTTCAGTATCATTGAACTTAAAATTGAATGTAAACCAATAGTGACATACATTAAAATCATTCAATATTCTTAAAAAAAAATTGTTTCAGACACACCAACAGTAAGCATTTCTCAGTCATCGTACAGTGTCACCACAGGAACATCTGTCACACTGGCTTGTTCAGTATCAGCAAATCCTTCACATACCTCCGTGTTCTGGCAGCGAAATGTTGGTTCAGGAACACAGTCAGTCACCATCGACAACATAAACTTTTCTGGTGCCACAGTTAGCTCCCCTTCCCTTACCGTGATCTCTGCCAGCAGTTCTGACTCGGGATCGTACAGATGTTTTGCTACAAACTCTATTGGGACAGGTCAGAGTGGCTTCACTACCCTCTCTGTAACGGGCAGTAAGTATTTACATAAGTTTTCAGCGATATGGGTTTAATACTGGTGTATGAAGTTATTTCTTACCTGAAATCCTCATTAAATTTCTATCCCTCATTGTAAGAAAATTAATTTTGCAATGCATAGCAGTTAAAATATCACAAGATGGAATTAACGACCGTGCGTCGTCCGAAAACTTTTCATTTAAAAAACTTCTTCTCAAATACTAGATGGCCTAGGGGGCTAATACTTGACCCATAGCATGCTGGCATGAAACCCTACAAAGTTTGTTCAAATTAATGACCTTGACCCACTTTCAAGGTCACAGGGGTCAAATATGTTAAAATATACAAACGACTTATTCTCAATAAGCAAAAGTCCATGAGTGCTGATATTGGGCCTGTAGGATGCTTGGAGGAAAGGCTACCAAGTTTGTTCAAATGAATGACCTCGACCCACTTTCAAGGTCACAGGGTCAAATATGTTGAAATTTTTAAACAACTTCTTCTCAACAACCAAAAGGCTCGGAATGCTGATATTGTGTCTGTAGCATGCTGGGATAAAGGGCTACCGAGTTTGTTCAAATTAATGACTTTGACCCACTTTCAAGGTCACAGGGGTCAAATATGTTAAAATATACAAACAACTTCTTCTCAATAAGCAAAAGTCCAAGAGTGCTGATAATGAACCTGTAGGATGCGTGGATGAATGAATGACCTCGACCCACATTCTAGGTCACAGGGGTCAAATATGTTAAAATATACAAATAACTTCTCTTCAATAAGCAAAAGTCCAAGAGTGCTGATAATGGACCTGTAGGATGCTTGGATGACATGCTACCAAATTTGTTCAAGTGAATGACCTTGACCCACTTTCAAGGGCACAGGGGTTAAATATGTTAAAATATGGAAGTGACTTCTCAGTAACCAAAATGATTAGAGTGCTGATATTGGGCCTGTAGGATGCTGGGAGGAAGGGCTACCAAGTTTATTCAAATGAATAAAGCCCACTGTTTTAACAGCAGACTCACTGTTGTTAGAGTTTGGCTTGCTTTTTGTCAGATGACTGTTAAGACCCATGGGCCTCTTGTTTAATTAATTACATGAGGTAAAACATTTTCAGTCTCATTGAACATAAAATTGAATGTAAACCAATAGTGACATACATTAAAATCATTCAATATTCTTAAAAAAAATATTGTTTCAGACACACCAACAGTAAGCATTTCTCAGTCATCGTACAGTGTCACCACAGGAACATCTGTCACACTGGCTTGTTCAGTATCAGCAAATCCTTCGCCTACCTCCGTGTTCTGGCAGCGAAATGTTGGTTCAGGAACACAGTCAGTCACCATCGACAACGTAAACTTTTCTGGTGCCACAGTTAGCTCCCCTTCCCTTATCGTGATCTCTGCTGATTCAAATGATGCCGGAACTTACACATGTTTTGCTACAAACTCTGTCAGTACTGGACAGAGTAGTACAATAACATTGGCTGTCACAGGAAGTAAGTTTACAGATACATAGATAGATCTCTGTCCACGTTATGTATTACCTCCCTTTCTTGTGTTCCTGTTACAAGGTTAGAATATATTACCTCCCTTTCTTGTGTTCCTATTACTAGGTTAGAATATATTACCTCCCTTTCTTGTGTTCCTGTTACAAGGTTAGAATATATTACCTCCCTTTCTTGTGTTCCTATTACTAGGTTAGAATATATTACCTCCCTTTCTTGTGTTCCTCTTACAAGGTTAGAATATATTACCTCCCTTTCTTGTGTTCCTATTACTAGGTTAGAATATATTACCTCCCTTTCTTGTGTTCCTATTACTAGGTTAGAATATATTACCTCCCTTTCTTGTGTTCCTGTTACAAGGTTAGAATATATTACCTCCCTTTCTTGTGTTCCTATTACTAGGTTAGAATATATTACCTCCCTTTCTTGTGTTCCTATTACTAGGTTAGAATATATTACCTCCTTTTCTTGTGTTCCTGTTACAAGGTTAGAATATATTACCTCCCTTTCTTGTGTTCCTATTACTAGGTTAGGATATATTACCTCCCTTTCTTGTGTTCCTGTTACAAGGTTAGGATATATTACCTCCCTTTCTTGTGTTCCTATTACTAGGTTAGAATATATTACCTCCCTTTCTTGTGTTCCTATTACTAGGTTAGAATATATTACCTCCCTTTCTTGTGTTCCTGTTACAAGGTTAGAATATATTACCTCCCTTTCTTGTGTTCCTATTTTTAGGTTAGAATATATTACCTCCCTTTCTTGTGTTCCTATTTTTGGGTTAGAATATATTACCTCCCTTTCTTGTGTTCCTGTTACAAGGTTAGAATATATTACCTCCCTTTCTTGTGTTCCTATTTTTAGGTTAGAATATATTACCTCCCTTTCTTGTGTTCCTGTTACAAGGTTAGAATATATTACCTCCCTTTCTTGTGTTCCTATTACTAGGTTAGAATATATTACCTCCCTTTCTTGTGTTCCTGTTACAAGGTTAGAATATATTACCTCCCTTTCTTGTGTTCCTATTTTTAGGTTAGAATATATTACCTCCCTTTCTTGTGTTCCTATTACTAGGTTAGAATGTTTTACATTATATAGTGTAGTGAGTTTTTTGAAAGATTTTTTTTTTCGTTTTCTTGATTGAATTTATTTGTAAATATTTCTTGTTCAAGGTGGGGATGAATTATAAACTTAGGTAAAGATAATTTATTTAGTTAAACATCACTAATTAAATTATGTAGTTCTAATATAATTACAATTGTGCCAGGTTTTTTAACAGTTCTAGTTTTCAAGTTTTATGAATGTATGTATACAATGATGTTAAAAAACTCATCTGAGGCATAATGCAGAAATAGATTTAGATAAAATCAAAAGTTTGAGGGATTTTCTTTTGAAATTGATGGAAATTATGTAAATGAAGATTTTCCTAAATAACAGGAGTGACATGAACAGTGTTCATATTGTGACGTTAATCAAAAGATGGTCGAAGTCTCAAATTATTGTCACTCCAAAATTTATCCAGTCGGGATTTGAATGTTGACAGGGTGTGTGGGAGTGTGATAAAGGAACAAGATAACAGCACAATGTTGTTTAGTGTAGTATTCTCAGGATATTCTGTATAGAATGTAAGAAACATACAATTTGTTACTTTTAAATTATTTCAAAATCTTATAATGTTTTTTTCACAGCTGTACCTAGTGTGACTGTTTCCCAGTCATCCTATAGTGTCACCACGGGAACGTCTGTCACCCTGTCATGTACTGTGTCTGCAAACCCTTCACATACCTCCGTGTTCTGGCAGCGAAATGTTGGTTCAGGGACACAGTCAATCACCATCGACAACGTAAACTTTTCTGGTGCCACAGTTAGCTCCCCTTCCCTTACCGTGATCTCTGCCAGCACTGATGACTCGGGATCATACACATGTTATGCCACAAACTCTGTTGGGACTGGACTGGGCAGTACCATCACACTCACTGTCTCTGGAAGTAAGTCAAGTGACACATATCAGTGTTGATACGAGAACTCCTAATATCCTAATATAGATAGAACTGTCTATTCTAATTGATATCTCTTTAAAATCAACATTGTTTCAGATATGTGTACTTTATATCCTCAATTTCAATCCTTGGTAAATTCCCTGTGAAAGTTACCACAGGACAAACGTCTATTAAAGTAATAATATTTTCTAGTTTGAAAATTTTTAATATGAAATAAAGTACTTGAAACATTATTCTAGATACCACTTGTGAAATTTTAACTTCACAGGTATACCGACTGTGACTGCTACCCCAACATCTTACACTGTGACCAATGGAAACAACGCTGTCCTACAGTGTTCTGTTTCTGCAAGTCCAGCCGTTTCAAATGTATTCTGGCAGAAGCTTATCAATAACGTTTACACCACTTTAACCACTGGTACTGGGGCATACAGTGGCGCCACCACATCTTCACCAACACTTACCGTTCTCAACGCCAACAGTGATGATTCTGGCTCCTATATCTGTATGGCGTCCAACAGTGTCGGTACTGGACAGAGCAGCGTAGTGACTCTTACAGTTTCAGGCAGTAAGCTCTCACGAAAAAATACTGATTTTCTTACACCTAACAAAAGTTGATCTTTTCATGTTCATTTCATTGTCGATTTGTTTTCGTAAATCAGATTTGTCTTTTTGAAATAGAATCGCTACAAACATGATTTGTTGTTAATTGGATATTCTTCTGTATTAAATAATGTCAGTATTAAAAAAAAGTGGGTTTTATAGGACTGTAAATGACATCACTTGTTGTCAAATACAAACACACACTTTTTATCAAAACAGGACATAGAGTATCACACTGTTCTTTATTTATTCTGTCAATAATGCATGATCGACAGCTAATTGTAAATATAATTCAAATAATTATCCCCTAATTAAAGACAGTGAAAGCATAAAAAAACTAAATGCCATAACGACGAATATCATTTTTATTAGTATCCTATACTTGACAATACTAATATCAATTTAGTGTCAGAAAATGGGGAGACTTATGCTTCTTGTTGGGGAGAGTTTCTTAGAGAATAAGGTACATCAGCTAACAGTGAGGGTTTAAAAATTTACAGTATTTATAGAGTAGGAAATTCTACCTACAAAGGTTCAAAGGAAAAGGAGGCAATGTCTTATTTCTGATAATATGTCTATTCAGTTTATTTCAGTGGCTGACATACTCACATTTTGTGTCAGAAGTTTTAAGTCCTGAACTTGTTGTAGGATAAGCATGTATGTGTATTGTAATTAAGAATTTTATAAATGGCTGTTTGATACAATACATCATTTGTCTCGTCTATTCTGTAGGTATACCAACCCTGACTGTTACCCAGAGTTCTTACTCTATCACCACGGGTAACTCAGTCACGCTCCAGTGTTCTGTGTCAGCTAATCCATCCATCACATCAGTTTACTGGCAACGGACACAAAATGGCGTTACTGCAGGAATCACTGTGGATGGCGTTAATTTCAGCGGGGCCACAACCTCAAACCCTTCACTCACAGTGATCACTGCCAATACCGGAGATTCAGGAACATATAGGTGCTTTGCAATCAATAGTGTTGGGACAGGTCAAAGTTCAGAGATCTCTTTATCTGTGACAGGAAGTAAGTAAGAGTTATCTCCCTTGATATCTTATAGGACTCCTTTGTTTAAATTAATTGTGGTTCTGCAAACATAGTCATTTTGTAGATAATAGCGGATAATGAATGTAAATCCAGGAGTTATATTGAATGACGACTGGAAGTCATAAGTTGGAATGGTAAAAATAGCATATTGTTCATCTAAGGAAGATTATCCTTATATGTTCCTGACTGTTGCGAGGACATTAAATCCAGCCTGTAAAACAAGTTAAAACCGAGGGGAAAAAAGATGTCTCTATGAATCATGTTATAATTGAAATGAGTTATAGAAAATTGTTTTTTTATGAAAGGAAAGGACTGAATGAAAACATAATTTAAAATGAGATGTGAAATTGATCTCCAGATCTTCCTGTGATCACCATTGGTCAATCGTCGTACTCAGTCATCACCAACTCCCAGGTGACCCTTCAGTGTTCAGTTTCGGCCAATCCGTCGATTACATCAGTAGTCTGGCTGAAGACGTCCGGTGGTAGTACCTCTACAATTGCCATAGACGGTACAAAATACTCTGGTGGGTCCACTACAAGTCCAACTCTTGTTATCAACAATGCTGCTAGCACAGACTCCGGGACGTACGTCTGTCAGGCCACAAACAGTATCGGCACAGGATCAGGGACAAGCATCACTCTATCAGTGACTGGAAGTAAGTTGTCTCCCCTTGATGATTGGTGCCCAATATATGATGTACTTGATTTGTTAAAGAAATCTATGTTTTGTTTTTAAGATATAGAACAATCAAAAAGAAATGATTGTATCTTAAAACTATGTGTCTGTATTAAGACTCTTAATTAATTTTAAGAAACTGTAACAACATGGCATATTATCACTGAAGTTTTGTGCATGATCAAAGTGCTCTTCCAAACACACTGTTGTTTTACCCCTGAATTCCCACATTCTGCCACTAAAATTTTCCAGGTTGGAAAAGCCCATGTACCTGGAAGGTTTTGTACATGTTCCCCAAATATCTAAAAAGGCACATAACTGTTAAAGCAATTAACACCTTAATTTTATAACATGCACCAAAGGCCTGTTTAACATTCAACCCATCAATGCTTTTTTTGTGGCTGACTGTAACTTCAGAACATGAACAATGTTCACTCGAACACACCCTAAAAAACTCACAAATGGTTTCCATGTATTTATATATAGATGAAATACCCATTTATAAACCAGGTATTTTGGGGGTTTTGACAGTGAAGATATATATACGTTGTAGTGTATTTTTGTGGTGGCATCTGAAAATTCCCTGAATATTACCTATATTTGTTCAATTTAAAACAATGCTCCCTTTAAAGAAGAATTATTTGTAAGCATTGAACACTTGTTCTTTACTGGAATTGTCCGCAGATTCTCAATACGTTCTGAATGATTATATATACGGCCATTTTCCTGTCCGCGACGCGGTGCGTGTTATTCTTGCAATGTTTGGATTTTGGTGCCTAAAACGATTTTCCTTGTGAGTATTTCAGGTTTTGGGAATCTTTTTTTGATGATATAAATTCTGTGTTTGCTCTTATATTTTTGTTATTACTCAGATGTTGATATTGTGTGGACACTCTTAATTCATACTGATTCCATCTTTCTATCATTAATTCTTTCTTGGTGTCTTCACTCCTTCAAAATAACGTAGACAATAGAGCCTCACTGAAAAACAATATCTAGATCAATTGAAAAATTTAAGAATTTTTCACTGGTTTTAATATCAGAAAAACTGAGATTCCAAGTGAAATGGACATTTTTTTATGTATATAAAATCAATTTTCTGACATCTTCTGTTCATGGAAATTTGGATCAGCTCCTCTTTGTATTTATAAATAAGGATTGGAGATGTGATTCTCCTATATCTTATAACTATTCATGATGTCATGGTGCATGTAATTCCCCACAGCCATGGATAGGAACAGGAACAAAACATTGTGTAATGTAGACATGTATACACATAAGTCTCAACCATTGGTATAAGATTTTTGAGGTTCAGCACTTTATTTAAACTACTTAGTTGATAGGTTCTATTTTCATATAATCATATATGTAGTGCAATGTCAGTCTTCTGTGGCTAACTAGATATCCCTGTATATATGTGGGACCGCAGGTAACAAAATATTCTGTGTTTAGCCTCTGTTTGGTAACAAAGCGTCCTTTATGGGCCTCTGTCTGCTAACAAAGCATCCTTTATGGGCCTCTGTCTGGTAACAAAGCATCATTTATGGGCCTCAGTCTGCTAACAAAGCATCCTTTAAGGGCCCACCATGTATAGTAACAAACTAACCCTTGTGGAACTTTGATTCTATTGACATTAATAACCTGATAAAAATGTTCTGAAATACCCCATGTGGGGCCTCTGTTGAGTTACAACTATCCTTTTTTTTAAGATTCAAGTCTTCATATAGGAACAAATAGAACCAATACAAGACCAACAGAGTTGCTTCCCCTTCGGTTCTGCCTCCTTTCATTGATATGATTATTCTATGAGTACACATTTTTTTCCACACTTGATTGACAGTGCTGAAATATCAGTTTCATATTTTCCTTGAAATCATACTTCCACAGATATTAGGACTTTACATTGAAAATGCTATAGATATAAGGTTGTCTGTCTCTATGTCAGTCTGTCTCTCTTTTTTTGATAGAGGGCACAATATCTCAAGTTCTCATTTCCAGGTCATGTAGTCAAACTTTACCCAATGTTTTTTCTAAAGCAGTTCTTACATGGGAGTAATATTTTTGATTCAGAGGTCAAAAGTCAAGGACACCTTTACTATGGTAGAAAATCATTTCTTCAAAATACCTTCAGTTCTGATTTGATGGTTACACTTTGACTCAGCGTTGTTTCTTCACAGCACATACTAGCTCTCAATTGCTTTTCATATTCAGAGGTCAAAGGTTAGGTCACCACTACTATAAATAGAAATGGGTATATACAATAATAAATATGCAACGGAATGTTATTGAAGTCAAAGGTCAAAGGTGAAAGTCATGAAATGATTTAGTGTCAGATATTTTGTTGACATAATGAGGCACTATTGACTAAAATCAAAAGAGTCAACAAACTACAGGTCAAGGTCATCAGATCATCAAGTCAAAGGTCAAATTCAGTTTTCAAATATTTCATAGAAAAAGGTTTTAGGTCAAATTTCAAGGTCAAATTTGAAATATTTACTGGTAAATATTTTGTTTGCACATAAACATAATAAAGCATAATTAGTTTTAATCAGATGAGATGTTGACTTACTGCAGGTTAAGATCTTCAGATCAAAGGTGAAGGTCTGGTTTGAAAATATCTATATTTCACAGGCAAATCAATTTGTCTATAAAGCAATAAACAAAAAACCGAAAACTTAGTTAAGAATGTGACACAATTTAGAGTTTTTCCTGATGTGTGTCAGTGACTTCAGTTCAGAAGTCAAAATTGTCATCTACTTCTACAAATTTGTAGTAATGTTTTCAATGATAGTTGTACAAAAGACTGTCCTTCTACATAAGAACACACTTTCAGATATCATCAACATTTCTTTAATATCATTGCCCCTTTTATATAACATTGCCCCTTTTATATAACATTGCCCCTTTTATATAACATTGCCCCTTTTATATAACATTGCTCCTTTTATATAACATTATCCCTTTTCTATAACCACACTTTTCTTGCTATATTTTCTCTACTAATCATTACTCATGAATCTTCTTGTATCAACTCATTATTCCACTTAATAGGATTTCTCTTTATATCAAGTTTCCTCTTAATAGCAATGCCCCAACCTGGGTTAATAACAATAATCTGTCTTTTGAATTTCTTCCATTTGGTAACAGTGTTCCTCATTCTTATAACAATGTTTGATCCTCTTTATAACAGTACCTCTAATCCTTCTATCCCTGAAACAACTCCTCAGAATACTTTCAAGGAAAATAGTTTTAATTTCCAAACTTTTTGTTGCAACTTAAATAGTGTTTATGCTTTATGCTTACTCTGAAAAAACTGCAAAATTCCATGTTTTTCTTATACTTTTTTAATAAATGGAATGAAAGAATGATATCATTCTCTGTTGGACGGACTCTTTTCATTCTTTATTAAAATCAGAATATATGTTTTTAATGAGTTAGGAATTATTGAGTTTACTGTTAATTACTTATTTCACCTTGCCTGAGTTCCTTTTTATTTCACATTTCAAAATGTCACAAGATATTGAGAGTACCCGATATAAAATAGTGTTGCTGAACATTGGTGTGACAAACATGAACACAATGGTTAACAGAAAGTTGGTGTATCTTACAAAATCATAAGAGGAATTGTTTGTAATAAATAAAAAAATTTATATCAACAAAACACAATTAATTAATTAAAAATATTTTATGTGAAATAAATTAGATTGTTTAAATTGTGAACGAACTTTAAAAAATATGGATGAAATTTGAATCATCAGTGTACCTTTTATACCGTCAGTGTTTTAGTTAAAACTTTCATCTGTGATGTAATTTTGATAATGAGGAAAATTTTGTTTGTGCTAATTATAGCATATAAACAGGAGAACGAGTAACATTCTAAATCAATAACAAACAACAATTTTTTTTAAAAAACAAAATTTTGAATAATAATAAATCTATTGCAAAATAATATAAAACTGAAACAATATCCTCTTGGTATATGTATAAAAAAATGTTTCAAGATATATATATCAGTTATGATACCAGTGAAACCAGTGTATCCTTAGAAGTTTCGTAAAATACTGATAAGTTACATATTATTATTATGACATTCTTACCGGCCCGTCAACACATGAAACGTCATTAGGGCCATCAAACGGTAAAACACACAGCGGTCCAAAAGGAAATAACATTAAACAAACCAAAAGGTAAAAGACAAATGTTAAAAATCTTAAATGGGTATGTTAACACAAAAGATTAAAATGGTACATCATAGTGTATTATATAGACCAACATCTTTCAGGTAATGTAGAATTTTACAAATCTTAACAGTTTCAAAAAGGGATTTTTAGACATGTAATGTTATGATACAAACATTCTCGAGTAGACAGAAGGTCACAGCAGTCCAATAAAAAATGTTTAACGGTGAATGGCTCATCACATCCTATATAAGTTAAATACAATACTGATATGTTTACATAAAATACTGATTTCCTGGTCTGAGATTTATAGAATGTGAAACACAACTTCCTAATCTTTGACATCTCCAGATATTCCCACGGCAACCATCAGCGAGACTGACTATTCTGTTGTAACCGGATCGACTAAGACTATACCATGTTCCGTCTCCGGAACTCCATCAGTGACTTCCGTCAGCTGGAAGTTCACACACAATGGAGTCACTTCGACCTTGACAATTGATGGAGTCAACTATGGTGGTTCTTTGGTCAGCAGTCCATCACTTATTGTTTACAATGCTGATAACAGTGATCAGGGTTATTACACTTGTACCGCGACGAACTCTGTGGGGACAGGAACAAGTGCCGCCACCTATCTTTATGTCACAGGAAGTAAGTAAACGCCAGAAACTGCGTAGCAATGTTCTTTTATTTGTTTTTATTATTTTACATCTATTGAAAAAAAAGTTTTAAATAATATCTTAGAATTGAAATATGCCATATGTTGTACTTAATATGAAATGTTTTTAAAAAGAATTTTCACCACTGTGAAAAATATCCACCAATTAGCAAACTTGAGAAAATTTGAAATTTCCACATGAATTACAGAGTAACAGAATCATTTAAAATTGTTTTAGATTTCAAAATATGGAGACATCCCCCACACCTCCTACACGGGGAAACCGTTTTTGAAATCAATGTTTTTGTTATAAAGAGGTCTCCACAGTTATATATACTTTATGGTTTAGTAGATCAGAAACACAGATGCTTACTATTTCAAATCTGATTTCTTCTTAACTCTCTTTGTAAACAAAGGAGTTGCATGGTTTTAGAAATTGCATCATTAGTAGATCAAGATTTATTGAATCACTTCTGTAAAATTCAAAATTCTGGCTGATGAAAGGTTTCTCTAATTTACTCCAGAGTTGTAATATTTCATAAATCTGGCAGAGTCATCCAAAGATTAAAAAATCTATGAATAATAGATTGAATGGTTCAATAGAAAGTTAAAGGTTTATATAATGTTTTTACAGATAGCTTCTTCATTTAAGTGAAAATCGGTTGTTATTCTGTGTTTGTCATAATTTCAACAACCAAAACATCAAATTGCAAAATTTCAGAAAGGAGCACTTTAGTTAAGATGACTAGGAATTACTTTCAGAGTTAAGACAGCTGATAACCTTTAATGTCCAGACAGAAAACATGACTTTTATACTGCCTTAGTGGCATGGTTCATAACAATACTGGCTGTCAAACTCTTGTTGTGTGGGTTAAACATTAAGTAACATGTGGCATGATTTAAAGCTTGATTAGTTGTGTTATAGTTTATACATATATCATAGTCATAGATTAGTACCTTTTCATCTATTTTGCATGTGCTTGTTTTATCAACAGCTGTCCCTGTAGTGACCATTGGTCAGTCAAGCTATAGCGTGCTGACCTCGAACACAGTGACCATTGACTGTACAGTCACTGCCACTCCAGCTGCCACATCTATCGCTTGGCAACGTGTCATCAATGGGGTCACCACCTCAGTCTTTATAGATTCCACCAAGTTTGGGGGTGCCACTGTCAGTAGTCCATCCTTGACCATCTATAACTCACAAAGTAGTGACCAAGGCGATTATAAATGTCTGGCCACTAATGCTGCCGGAACTGGACAAAGCTTGTCCGCTACCCTGGAAGTTACAGGAAGTGAGTGTTAACTACTGCGTGGATTTTTGTAACATGTGGAATTTTATCTTCCACTCTCTTCCCTCTGTGTCTGTTTCCTTCATCTCTTTTTATTTTTATTCTTTTTTTTTATGTTCTTGTTTTTTTTTCTGTTGGTCTTTTATTTATTCTATCATCTTATACCCGATCAAAAGATTGAAATGTTAGATGTAAACATCAACACAAACAAATACTGCATGCCTATGCATGAAAAGGCTTGAGAAGTTAGTGAAACCTGTAGCCTGTACAGTAATTATTTAGTCCAGTACATAAGCATCTGCCTTTTTAAATTTGTCATAACTAAGTTCAATTTGCTATTAATTTCTTCATTCAGAATCTGAGGTGCATGTTAGTATGTCTATAAAACATTATAACACCTTTTTTGTATTTGCTGAATAATCACACAAAATATGAAATTGAGAATTTTGAAAATGAGCACATAAAGATTTAATTATTAAAACTAGTTTTTACATTAAGAAACACAAGTTGTAAATAGTTGATAATTTATATCAATCAGGTTTTAAACTGCAACCAGGGTTCAAGTATTGCACTCAGAAGAAATAAATAATTACTAATTAAAAACCAATAATGATAAATAATTAGAAATTGCTAATTAGTAAATGGTGAAGATATTTCCGATCTTCCACAGAATTAAAATATTGGTTTGAATCTTCTTAAAAACACTTAATGGTCAAAACTGTAGATCCTTATAACCTATTATGATTGGTCATTCTCATTTTTTATGCTTTGAATGGTCAATATTTCAGATCTGCCAACAGTTTCCATTGGTCAGTCTACATACTCAGTCACAACTGGTCAATCCACTACCCTGACCTGTACAGTGTCAGCATCACCAGGCATCAACAGTCTAGAATGGAAGAAAATTCGAGGTGGTGTCACTTCAACAATATCTACATCAGGGAGCACCAAGTACTCTGGAGCCACAATAAATAACCCGTCTTTGACAATAGCTAACACAGATGACACTGATGAGGGGTACTATTACTGTACCGCTACCAATGCTGTTGGTACCAGTGAGAGCTCACAGATTATCTGTCCGTCACAGGAAGTAAGTGTTGGTACTATGGAACTCTGTGTAAACAGACCCCTTCCTCTTGTAAAGATGGACCAGATGGTCTATTAGATTGGAAATTTATCATTTTTAACAACTTGCATTCCAGATATTTGAGCAGATTTGAATCTCTACTGATTACATACATCTGTATATTGCAGGTATCCCATCTGTTGTGATTGGTCAAACAACATACTCTTTCACCACTGGTCAGTCAGCCACTCTTGGTTGTACAGTGACTGCAGTTCCTGCTGCAACCTCCATCATCTGGGAAAAAATAGACTCTAACGGTAATACAAACACCATTAATGTGAATGGAGCTAGGTATACAGGAGGGACAACTGGAACTCCATCTCTCACCATTGTTTCTACTGTAACCACTGACTCTGGGAACTATCGCTGCAGTGCCACTAATAGCATCGGAACAGGACAGAGTGAACAGTCGTACCTATATGTCACAGGAGGTAAGCTAAAGAACAATTCATTAGAGTTGTCTATCTTTGTGTTTGATGTGAGGAGACTTTCCATGACCTGCTGATTCTCCTAATATATTGTCACACAAAGAAGAATGACTCTAATTTTCTAACAGATACGCTAGTGTCTGGTTAAAATCCCAACTGCTATGTAGTATCAGAAGAATTACCAATAATTTTTCTATATATGTTTTTTAAAAAGTCACCCACCCATAAACTGAAGTCAGTGTTTAAGGTTTTTACCTCCAAGAATTTCAGGCCTAAGGTGTTGGAGGTAGACTAACAGCATACAGCCTAATTAATTTTTTTTTTCATTTCTCCTCAGCCTTGCCAACTGTGACGGTCAGCCAGAGTACTTACTCGGCAATCACTGGGGAGTCGGTCACCATAAACTGTCAAGTGTCAGGCACACCAACAGTCACCTCAGTCGCATGGAAACGGACAATAAATGGAGTTACCTCCACCTTGACCATGGATGGGACAAACTACAATGGTGGTACTGTAGGAAGTCCATCTCTAATCATCAGTAACGTTGATAGTGGAGATACAGCCTCTTATTTCTGTAGTGCTACAAATGCTGTTGGGACCACGACCAGCAATGCAATCTTCTTAACAGTCACAGGCAGTAAGTTTTTTAACCATTATTCGTTTCATTTCTTGCAATCATAGTGTAAAATCTTTTAATTTCATTTTGATTAGAATCTTGTTACTAATATAAAAAGGAGCAAATTCACAAAAAATTAGTCATGCATTCCTTAGTAATATCTTAAAGGTTCATTGAGTGATCTGTATAGAATTTAAAAACTGTTTTCTGCCAACAAATCATTCACTGAAAAAAATGTGTTTCTATTGGTGCTAAATATTAATCCATATTTAAACCATATGACTAAATCACGAAGAATAAGGTAAAAATGGAGAGAAAAAAGGGAAATAACCACTTTCCTGTCAAAGTTTAATAAAAGTGATTGATTGTAAAAATTTTGGTCATAGCAACTGTACCTTTATTCTCCTGTCATCACTCCATTACATTTTTGTGTCACCTGCAGAGCTGGCAGACACTTAGGGATCACTTTGTCCGTTGTCAAGTGTCGGCGGCGTCTGTACGAAAGTTTCCCAGACTTTTTTTGTTTATGCTTTGAGTTATCAAAATGAAATTTAGTATATGGCTTCTTGTTGGAAGGGTACAGATTAAGTTTGATTCCTGGCTGTCTGTGACCCTTCTTGGCAGAGTTATGCCCCTTTGATCTTAGAAAATTCTCTGGGAATATTGTTTTCTGGACTTTCTTTGGTTATGCTTTGAGTTATAGAAATAAAATTTGGTATTACAACTTTATGGTTGAACGTTGCACATCCAGTTTGATTTCTGGGTGACCGTGACACTTTATGCAGGTGACACATACAGTTCCGAGGAACTCTTGTTACAAAATACACTGTGTTTTCTACATTCTAATATCAATACAAATCTTTATTTATCTGTGTTGATATTCTATCCTAGATACTCCAGTTGTGTCTGTGAACCAAGACTCCTATTCCGCGACCACGGGTAACACAGTCACACTCCACTGCAGTGTGTTTGCTGTACCAGCTGCCTCAACCGTCCAGTGGGAACGGACAATCAATGGTGTCACATCTTCTATCAATATCAATGGGGTGGATTATGGTGGATCTAGTGTTAGCACACCGTCCTTGGAGATATATAGTGTTGCGACATCAGACTCTGGGTCATATCGCTGTAAGGCAACAAATGCTGTTGGAACTGGACAGAGTGTGCTAATCACACTAAGTGTTACAGGAGGTAAGTCAAGGGGGCTTCAAACAATCTAAATACAAAGTGTACAATACATTGTGACTCACACAATGAAATTTGATGCTAGCAAAAAAAGTTCATGCACTTTTTTCCGTATTTTTTTTATTTCTGAAAGTGCCCAAATATGGAGACTTTTTATTTACTACCTGGCTACTCTGATCACTCAAACATGTCAGGAGTGAAATGTATTTATATTGATAGTATTTCCAGTTTGTTTTGACCTAAAGCACTGATTTCTGTCTTTTGTGACCAAGAAAACTTGCATGTGTCAGGAGTGAAATGGATAATTTTATATATTGATATGTTACCTGTCTATTGTGACCAGTAACACTCACATGTATCAGGAGTGAAATGGATAATTTTAAATATCAATGTCACCTGTCTATTGTGACCAGTAACTCACATGTGTCAGTAGTGAAATAGATCATTTTATATATTAATATGTCACCTGTCTTTTGTGACCAGTAACACTCACATGTATCAGGAGTGAAATGGATAATTTTATATATTGATATGTTACCTGTCTATTGTGACCAGTAACAATATTTCCAGTTTGTTTTGACCTTAAGCACTAATTTCCTTCGAGAAACTGAGACAATTAAACAGAACAATGGACATCATTGCCATGCCTTTAAGCAAATCATAACTATGTATTGTTACATCTTTATAGCAACTACAGAAGATACGAAGTTTGATAGGTGACGGTGGACTTTTTTAAAGACTTTAATTTTTCATCAAAATAATACTTTATTCGACAGCTATTCCAACCGTGACAATTGGTCAAAGTTCATACAGTGTAACCACTGGTGCCACAGCAACGCTGTCCTGTACCATTTCTGGAATCCCAGCTTCCACTGCAGTTACGTGGCAGAAAACACGAAATAGTGTTACTAGTACCATAACAATAGATGGCGGTAAATACGATGGAGGCAGTATCACAACGCCATCTCTCATTATCAACAACGCTGATAGTAATGATGACGGTAGCTATGTATGTCAAGCCACCAACAGTGTTGGAACTGGGTCAAGCTCCTCTACTACATTGACAGTTACAGGATGTAAGTAGGTCAAGGCCACAACCATTCAACACTTTATATAGAATCACCTAGTTTGATGAAATCACATAAGATTTTACTCCTGCCTATATTTCACTAAAAGAGGAAATTACAAAATCGAAATGTTCTGAGGAAACATCTTTTGCCATCTAAGAAAATATTCTAGATGCTGTGTAAATATTTAAGCTTGGAAGCACAAAGTATACATACATATTTTCAGATCTTTAAAGTTTGAACTTTCAAAATTGAAAAAAAAATTAATTGAATTTTGAAACTGATTTTTTTTCCCCAGCTGTTCCATCTGTGACAGTTGGACAAAGTCAGTACACTGTGACCAGAGGAAGTAGTGTCACGCTCCAGTGCACAGTTTCTGCTACCCCGACTGCAACCTCTGTTACCTGGAAACGTATATCTAATGCTGCGACTACTGTGATCAGTGTTGATGGCACCAAGTACAGCGGATCTTCAGTGACCACTCCATCGCTGACTATAAATAGCGCGGCCAGTGTGGATGCTGCCACCTACATTTGTACTGCTACAAATGTGGTAGGGGAAGGGGAGAGCACTCAGACTATCCTCAGTGTCACTGGTGGTAAGTACAAGGAATAAGTAACTCTCTTTCATGTTAACAATAAAAAATGTAATAAGCCCTTTCTTTATCACTTATACTTCTTGATCATTTTTCATCATTGGTGGTAATTTCTTATGGAATAGATCTTTTTTAAATCCCCATCAATTTTTGATAATAATATATAAACACATTTTTCATTTGGAAATGTATTTTGATTTTCATTTGACGTCATGATCAAATTGATACTTTGATGGGAAAGGGAGAAGATGTAGGAACGGGGTGTGGGAATGGAGAGACAGACATATGCAGTCCTCATGACAGACATATGCAGTCCTCATCATTTTTGATGACAGACATATGCAGTCCTCATCATTTTTGGATCCGTCCCGACTTTAGAACTGTGATTCCCTAACTATAGTTGTTGTATTTCTGTGACAGATGTACCAACTGTGACTGTAGGAGCGGCTAGTTATTCCGTAGTTACTGGTTCTTCTATCACCCTCGCATGTACAGTAGTAGCAACTCCATCTGCTAGCGCCATCTACTGGCAGCGTATCATCAGCGGTACGACGACAACCATGAACATTGACGAAGTTAACTACTTTGGTGGCTCCCTCTCTACACCAGCCCTGACCATTCAGGAGGCATCGTCCAGTGACGAAGGATACTACATCTGCTCGGCCAGTAACAGTGTGGGCACCGGTCAGAGCGGTCAGACTTACTTGACCGTTACAGGAGGTAAGAACTGGACCATCATAGGTCACAGGACCTTAAGTATTGACAGTTCACTTACTTTTATCTGAGTATGTTAAGTTAGTAGATATCTCTGTTTTATAATGTTAGAAGTATCCTAGTCCATACTTATAGTGAATCTTAGGGAATGTATAGAAATTTTCTATCGTCTTTCATTTTAAATTTTGGTTTGAATATCTTTGTTTGAATTTTTTGGAATGACTATAATTTTGTGATATAGTTTCTAACAAGCCTGATTTTATTAATCATTAAGAATTTTTGACATAGATCAATGTAGAGTGACAGATCATTGATTATAATGATAGAACTTGACCCAGGTCATGCAGTGTTTTAGACATTTTTGAAAAAGATATAAAAATATCACTGACTATAATAAGTACATTGTCAGAAATTTTTTTTTCAATCATTTCTTTTCAATTGATTATTTTTTATCATATAACTAACATATCACAGATCATATTTACTTTTTTTACTTTATTTATTTGTCAATTTTTTACTTTAATTATTGTTCATCTTATTTTATTCAAAACTTTTTGGTTAAACTGCATTTCACGTGAATTACTTAAACTCTTTAATTTTTATGGGAGATTTTTTTTTTGTTTACTTTATGGTTAGTTTGTGAATTTATAAAAAAATGATAAACAAATAAACATTTAATTAACATAACTTTTAGTATAAGTGGATTTTGTGAGCAACATTTATCCACAGAATCAAGTGTTAATGAAAAAGTATATTTTTGGAAAACCACAAAATTTGACCCCCATGAAAATATATGAATTAAAAGAATAAATGAATATAATTTTTTTTCTATTAAAATGTTTGTAAAATTCAGTCAAAGAAAAAAATAAAAAGTTCATTATTTCTGTAAATTCACTAACGAATAAAAAATTAATGAAAATCTACTAACTGCACTAATTGACCTTTATACAATATTATGATATTACAGTATTTCAGTATCAGTACCAAGTTCATAGTATCTAATTATATGTTATATTTTATTAGTCAGTAATAGTTGATTAATTGCATGTATTTTAAATATGATTTTCTTGTCTTTTGTTTCAGTTCCATTTCAGGAGTTTTTATTTTCATTCATTAAAGAAATAAAGAAATACAACATCTGTCGTTTCATGTTTACTTTGTACATTATTGCTACGTTATGATGACATAGAAAATCTGTCCAAAAAATGTGTCTTAATCGGTATTTACTTCTGCCCATGTGCCATTGTTAGATCCATCTTGATTTTACAAACAGTTAAGTGACTGTTTGACAGGACTAACTTTAACACAGTTGTAACTTATTTAACTTATTTGGTAACTGAAAATGCACTACATACATTATGATAGACTCTCCAACTCCACATACCGTATTCGACCCAATAAGCGCCCATGTCCTTATAAGCGCCCCCTTCCTCATTCAGATACCGAAAAGTCTAGATTTACTTACCTTTTAGTCACTATCAAGAATTGTTTTAAGTCGGTTTATAAGGAGATGTATTCCAGAAAAACGTAAAAAAAAAACATTTTATATCTAAGATGGTCTAAGATGGTTTTATTGCATGTTAAACAACTAGTGATTTTATAAATACATGAACCGTACAGTAGATTTTTTAGTACTGAATGTGTTTCTTTTACATCTAAGATGGTCTCTGATAAGTGCCCCCTTACTTGCAATTTTTTAAGCGCCCTGGGAGCTTATTGGATCAAATACAGTATCTATGATGGCCTTGCCATATGTACGACTGATGCATTCACTGTACATACCCGGTATATTATTATTGACTAACCCAGTATAGATACGTCATGATTCACCCCACAAAAGAGATTTTTGATAGAATTTACATTTATGTATAAATGATTGCATGGCTTGCTAATGTAGATTTATGGTTTTCTTCTCTGTGTGGATGAATGATTGACAGTACAGTGTGGCAGATTTTTAATTGACTCTTCAATGAAGAGTTATGATTGACTCTTCAATGAAGATTTATGTTTGACTCTTCAATGAAGATTTATGTTTGACTCCTCAATGAAGATTTCTAATTGACTCTTCAATGAACATTTATGATTGACTCTTCAATGAAGATTTATGTTTGACTCTTCCATGAAGATTTCTAATTGACTCTTCAATGAACATTTATGATTGACTCTTCAATGAAGATTTATGTTTGACTCTTCAATGAAGATTTCTAATTGACTCTTCAATGAAGAGTTATAATTGACTCTTCAATGAACATTTATGATTGACTCTTCAATGAAGATTTATGTTTGACTCTTCCATGAAGATTTCTAATTGACTCTTCAATGAACATTTATGATTGACTCTTCAATGAAGATTTATGTTTGACTCTTCAATGAAGATTTCTAATTGACTCTTCAGTGAAGTTTAATGATTGACTCATCAATGTAGACTTATGATAAACTTCTCCAGAATACATATATTATTGACTCTTTTATCCCAGAAGGTATATATGAATGATTTTCCTCAAGCATTGGTAATTCACATCTTCAGATGGAAGTTTTTATTGTGTATATTTTTGATTGACATCCCCAGACTTTATTAATGAATGACATTCCTTGTATATTGACTCAGTGACATTCAACACAATTTATCTTAACACTCTTTCTTCTTGTTCAGGTGTCCCTGCTGTAACCATCGCCCAGACTTCCTACAGCGTTGTTACAGGAAGTAGCATAACTATTCCCTGTACTGTGGCCTCGTCTCCATCCGCAACAAGCATTGTGTGGGAACGAATCATCAATGGCGCGACATCTACGCTGACCATGGACGGCACAAAATGGACTGGAGGGTCAGTCAGTGTGCCATCTTTAACCATCAGTAACTCAGCAACTAGTGACCAGGCCTACTATGTATGTAAAGCTATCAACTCAGTAGGGACTGGACAGAGTTCTCAGACCTACCTCACTGTTACAGGAAGTAAGTATAACGTTATGTGTTTAGGGGAGATGAGGGATCTGTCCTGCTGTCTCTGGCAGTAAATAGGTAGTGTGAAGGATTGAGGGTGGGGCAGCAGGAGAGCTTGTACATTGGGACCTATCCATCACATTCTGTATTTGTATAAAGTTGTGGTTAGGGGAGGGGATATACTGGAGGGGGTGAAGTGGAGAGTATTAATTCATGCTTGGTGGTATCTCACTGTCTGATAGGGAGGAAGAAAGAATGGAGTTATTTTCAGGGACCAATCTTATCATGCAATAAGTATAAGGTAAGAGGGCAGAGATGGTTTAGTGTGTCGGTGGTAGGAGTCTGACTGAGAATTAACATGTATCTACTTCAGTATAGCAGCAATGTGGTGAGACTTTACTTCTACTTCAAATTTACTGCTTTGTTTGTCAATAGGCTTACCTGTGGTCTCAATCAGTCAATCACAATACACAGTAGTCCAGGGCTCATCTCGGACCATCGACTGTACCGTCACAGCATCTCCATCCGCCACTTCCATCTCTTGGGAGCGCATTAGTGGGGGAGTGACCACTACACTGACCATTGATGGTAGCAAGTTTTCAGGGGGTCAGTTGAGTTCACCAGCCTTGACTGTCCTCAATGCGGCCAGCAGTGACCAAGGGAACTACGTGTGTACAGCCATGAACAGTGTCGGCATAGGCAGGAGTTCACAAGCCTTCCTCTCAGTCACAGGCAGTAAGTGAAGCTTATGTCATCCTTTCTATAAAGAAAACCTAAGTTTGATAACAAGTGTCTTTAGAAGATGATTTCCACAGATAATGTAATGACAGACTTATTTATAGTACCATTACATCGAAATGTCGTAACTTGGAAGTCATACTGGCTTAATATGTCACTAAAGGCCTTTTTCTTACTGTCAATTAAGGCCAACATTTGTGATAAAACCTGTTTGCAAGGGCCACCTGTTCTGGGAACTGCTTGTTTAAAGATGTTATTTTCGTACATTAAATACCTGTCTGCAAGGCTCACTTGATCTCTGTAGTTATATCCCCTGGATGCTTGTTATTACCTGTTAACATTGGTCACCATGAAAATGTGAACACCTATCTTTTAGATGTCACATCTGAAGTATTTAAATATTAATCACTTTTGTAGACTGTTTGATGATTGTAAATGATTTAATTTGGACTTTTTAGGTCATCTGACCAAAGGGTCTGCTGACCTATTGAGATCGCCTTTTGTCCAGCGGCATCCGTCGTACGTCGTCTGTCCTAAACATTTTCAACTTCTTCTCAAGTTCTACATGTCTCATTGAGCTGAAACTTACCTGAAATGATTGTGACATGATCCTGACCAAAGTTTCTTAATTTCGGGTTGGTCTGAAATCCAATATGGCCGCAATCTTGAAAACACATTTTCGACTTCTTCTCAAGTTCAACATTTGAAATCTTGTATTTTATGTCAGATGATCGTTAAGGCCCATGGGCCTCTTGTTTTATGTGATATCCTTGGAGTAAGTCAGAAGAGTTTCAATATCTGAACAATTGAGAGACTAGGAAGCCTTTGATGCCTTGCTGTGTGATGGAATTGTAATCCTACTATATCAATTATTTGATGGGATTAAGTTATGTCACAGTTAAGTATTGGGATGTGTTTTTTTATGTCTATTTCAACAATTCACAGGTACACCTGCAGTAACCATTGCTTCATCAACGTACACAGTCGTCCTTGGCAACACCATCACACTTCCCTGTTCGTATACCTCTAGTCCATTTGCGACGGCACTGAGATGGGAGAAAATTGTCAATGGTGTGGCTTCAACAATCACAATTGATGGTACCAAATATGGAGGTGGAACTGTAAGCTCATCCAATCTAACCATCAACACAGCAGCCTCCAGTGACCAATCGTATTACAAGTGTGTAGTGACTAACAGTGTGGGTGAAGGCAGCAGTAGTCAGACTTACCTCTATGTCACAGGCAGTAAGTATCTGGTAACTGGACGAGGTGTTGGCTTTGTGTACAACACAAGTAATTTCTCTTATACATCCACAAGTCATCAACTTTATATACAGCTTTAATTTGAGTACCTGATGTTCACACTCTGTAAACTTGCCATTAGAGAATTATGTTTTAAATTGGTCTTATTAGACCTAATCCTACCCTCTACTGTAAAGGTAGCTGGTTGGAGGTTAGGGGTTATATATGTCTGTCTATTCATAAATGCAATTTGTCTTCAGTAATGCTGCTTTCAACTCACTCTGCCAATTGTTATGATAATTTGGATGCATGGTCTGTACGTACAGCAGTTAGGAACTTATATTTGATCATTTTTGAAAGAGTTATAGCCCATTTTACTATTTTCTACGTGAAGTCAATGGGCATTGCATTAATCTTTTCCTTACAATTTCTGTTTAAATTCTGTTGTCAGATATCCCATCCGTGACAGTCAATCCCACTTCATACAGTATTGGCTATGGGAATTCGGTCACACTTAACTGTGCTGTTTCCTCGACTCCCGCTGCTACCTCAGTCTTCTGGGAGCACACAGATTCAAACGGTGTCACCTCAACTGTGACAACTGGTTCAGGTTACCAAGGGAGCACACTGAGTTCACCTTCCTTGGTAATTTCGTCGGCTGTACTAGCAGACCAAGGTTCTTATTACTGTAAGGCTTCTAACAATGTGGGGACAGGAACGAGCAGTCAGGTCTACCTCTACGTCACTGGAGGTAAGTGTTGTCAGCACAATCAGTAAATGAAAAGTTGTATCACAGTACTGGTTGTTAAGTTCAGTCATCAGAGATAGTCAATATTTGTGATTTCTAGATTTTCATCAGTCAAGTAGATTCATTTTTTAATACAAAAAAAAATTTAATTCTAAATATTTTTTCCCTCTATTAACGACACTTGTCAATATTTGTCCAACTGTTCTGGTCAGGGTAACTATATTTTTCATAAAAACTTAAATTTAATCTGATTGCTCATTTTTTCTGATCAAGAGGGCTGTCATTGAATCACTTCACATGTTCAAAGGTCAGAGGTCAAGTTTCCAGTTCATAGATTCTGTAAGGTGAATTGATTTTTGCTGTTGATTCTTTTGTTGTACAAACTTCTTCTGAAACGACTTAGATGGGATGGCTTACTGGTCCAAAGGTCAAGTCTCACTTAAAGGTCATGTAAAATAAATGGAAAATTTGCTGTCCATAATGACTCAATTTTCACTAAAGATTTGAATTTCCTTGCTCCTTTCTTCATTAAAACACTATTATTTTACTTCTCATCCTTGAGAGTCAAAGGTCAAGGTCCTAAGCATCAATAGTAAGGTCAAGGTCCTTAGCATCAATAGTAAGGTCAAGGTCCTTAGCATCAACAGTAAGGTCAAGGTCCTTAGCATCAACAGTAAGGTCAAGGTCCTTAGCATCAACAATAAGGTCAAGGTCCTTAGCATCAACAGTAAGGTCAAGGTCCTTAGCATCAACAGTTAGGTCAAGGTCCTTAGCATCAATAGTAAGGTCACGGTCCTTAGCATCAATGGTCAAGGTCCTTAGCATTAATAGTAAGGTCAAGGTCCTTAGTATCAATAGTAAGGTCATAGGCCTTAGTATCAATAGTAAGGTCAAGGTCCTTAGTATCAATAATAAGGTCAAGGTCTTAGCATCAATAGTAATTATGTTTGATACCAACTGCCTTGCAAACAATTGTTTCATATTGCCTACTGGTGTAAAGAATTAGTAGCATTTTCTCCATATAAATACAACAAAACCTGACCAGTGTCGTGAACCCACTTCATCTTGATCTGAAGAATATCTACACAGAACTTTGTGATGTCATCTTCTGAAATTGTCCTAATTTTGTCAGTTTTTGTTTTCAGACATTTCTGTTATTAATGTTATCATTGTATTTCTACACAGGCCCTTCAAGTAATGTTTTATTTTATTTACTGTAGAAATTGAAGATTTCAATTTTAAAGCTTTATAGTGAATCTGATTCTTCAAGTAAAAATTATACTTATCTGAAGGCTGAGGTTTTTGGCATGTGTTTAGGTGATATATGTTTCAAACATAATAGTGCATCCAGTTGAAATCTTTTCAAGCATGAATATTTTTAGTGTTTTGTTTATTTATTTTTTTATATTATCTTGAAATACTATAACAAAGAACCTCTTGTTTAAACTGATTGAATACTTAAGAAACCTTTAAGCCAGGCCTTTCATTATTTATGTACCTGTGTAGTCTGAGACAAGATTAGATTTAACAAGATATCAGAAAAAAAGGTAATATTCTTTAAAGAAAATATCTTGTTAAAAAGTTGTTGCACTATACTAAAGTTTTCTTGTTTCATTTTAAATTAGTCAGGTTGTCAGATTTTCTCGGGGTCAGACTGGACAAGATGTCACAATAGTAAGGTCTTAGTGTTGATAAGTCATTGGAAATGGGATCGCTATATTTAAAATCTAAGTCAAATTATACAGGATGTTAGATTGCTCACAGATCAGATTGGACAATGGGTTAGAATACAGAATGATAGAATAATATTGCATTATGAGTTTCATATTGATATGGGATTATATCAGTTTGTTACCGTGGACTGGATTAAATTAAAACTCTGGGGTCAGATTACACCTGAGGTCAGAATACTCAGGTTATATAGGGTAGTATTTATCCCACCATTATGGTGGTAGAAATTGTAACATTATAGGGTCAATTTAAACAGGATTTTACTATATGTATGTTAAAATTTGTTATACTTATTTTTTATGTTTTTTATTTTAACACAGCATGCCTGCATGACAGCTGGTAAAATGAGAGACTGAATGTTTTTAAATAAGATGCCTTTGTTTCATTACATTAAATAATTCTAGATTAGATTTGCATTAAGTAAAGCTATCAAATTTCATTCTAAAAGTTGAGTATGTGTTTTTGATAATTCACAAAACATTGGTGCTAGTGGCTACAATCAAGGCGTTTTCACTAATAATTACATAGTGTTTTATAAAATATGTATCATGGAAATAGTACCATAATGCAGGGACAATGTTAAAATGTTCTTTCTTTCATACAGGATAACTTTTACAAATGTTTTAATTTGAAATCAGAATTATGTTATAATTAATTTAATTTTAGATGTTTTTTTTTCTTCCATTTCCAGCTTTTATCTACCTTATATTTGCACTCATTGTCACTTTGCCTCTGATATTTTAAGAACAGAGACATTGTGAAATATTTGTCATATTAACAATTTTGCTTTATAATTTTTTATCTGCTACCTTCTGTAGTTTGTGAAAAACCATAAGAATTTTCTGCAGACTATACAAAATACTCGCTGACCGAGTGATGGTCACTGTGATGGCTGGTTTTCTGGCCGAGTGATGGTCACTATGATGGCTGGTTTTCTGGCCGAGTGATGGTCACTATGATGGCTGGTTTTCTGACCGAGTGTTGCTCATATTTAATGCTTATTTATATGCTTTAGATCTAGATGCCAATTTAGTTATGCTGACTTGCTTTGTTTACACTATAAACACACAAAGATCTGAATCCTCAATGAAATAATTCAGAAAAAAAAGAATACTCAAAATCATTCTTTTCACATATTTTTACCATAATTCCAAAATGTATTGTTAAAAAGGAAATCAATACATAGGTATGGATAAGATATTCTTTTGAGAAAAAAAATTGAGGATTATTTTGAGGGGAGTCAGTTCATTAGCTGTATTATCTGCTTTGCTTTGAAGGTCAAGGTCACTATTATTGTAACATATGACTTCTATAAAGTTACTTGGTTTTTTTTTTTTATTTTCTGTTGATGTTGATTAATTGTTTGGATAATTAATTAAGATAATCACTGTATGTTTCTAGGTTTTTGTATATCTATTTTATTTTCAAATGTTCACATGCATTATTTAAGATTAATGCCGACAAATATATATATGATTCCATTTACAACTATCAATATATGATGTAACTAGAATACAACTATATATATGATGTAACTAGAATACAACTATATATATGATGTAATCAGATTACAGATATATATATATATATGATGTAATCAGATTACAGATATATATATATATATATATGATGTAATCAGATTACAGATATATATATATATGATGTAATCAGATTACAGATATATATATATATATATGATGTAATCAGATTACAGATATATATATATATATATATGATATATATATATATATATGATGTAATCAGATTACAGATATATATATATATGATGTAATCAGATTACAGATATATATATATATATGATGTAATCTGATTACAGATATATATATATATATATATATATATATATATATATATATATATATATATATGATGTAATCAGATTACAGATATATATATATATATGATATATATATATATATATATATATGATGTAATCAGATTACAGATATATATATATATTTGATGTAATTAGAATACAACCATATGTATAATTAAATCAGAAAAGACCTGTTGAAGTTTTGTGTTACATTTGAATTACAGTCACATTTTACTTATATTTGTTCACTCAAACCCTTTATATGTTCAGAGTCCCACTAAACACAAATCAGAAAATTCTAAACTTACTGTTAGTCTTTCTTCTCTATTGTTGAAACACATTTTTATTATGTAGATAGTTGGAAAGCTGTTGAATTTCTCACATCTTGTAAATAATTGTTATTATCTCCATTTTGTTGTCTCCAAAGTTTTCCAAAATCTTTTGTATTTACAGATTTTTATCATTAAGTATAATCTAAAATGGATTATCTGTTTTTCTTCGATCAGATTTGCCTACGGTATCTGTTGGGTCCACATCCTACAATGGTCCTGTGGGTGGTACGGCTACCCTGTCTTGTACAATCAACGCATCTCCATCGGCAACCTCTGTCTACTGGTCAAAGGTCACCAATGGGGTCACTTCCACCATCAATATGAACACCAACTCCAGGTACAGTGGAGGCACATTGTCCAGTCCCTCCTGGGTCATCACAAATCTAGCCACTTCAGACACAGGAACCTACCGATGTAATGCAGTCAACAGTGTGGGCAGCGGTCAAAGTGATCTCACCAGCTTGACCGTCGAATGTAAGGCTTGTGCTCTTGCACACGAAATATGATGGTATAGTAGTGGTTCTGATCTTAGGCCAACCCCAGCATTATGTTAGAACATTATGTAGACTAAATGAAAGGAAACCCATGTATTTCTGGGTCCATACATACCATAACTTTCTGCGACCAGTTAGGGAGGTCAGTGATTATTTGAAGTGACATTGGCTCCCAGTATGGCAGGTTTGCACGTCACGTTTAATGACATTTTCACTCAGATTTAAAGATAAAAATGTGTTTTAATGTTCAGAAGAAATGAATTATTAGTATTTCAGACAGTAAAAAGTTTTATTTAAAATAAAAGTCATAAACATCTTTTACCATGATAAGCATCTGAAGATTAATTTTAACAAGAAATGTTCTTTACAACTTAGAGTGAATGTTTTGTTTTGTCAGGGTCTACACGTTAAGATTTTATTCAAATGAGTATAAGACAAGATTTAAGCAGTACAACTTAATCATAAAAGGACTTTCCACTTCTCTCTTATCAAACATCTAAAAGTTTCAGTGTTGAAAACATGAGAATGTATTCATTTTTATCTGCTCCAGTAAATCTTAGATAGTGGACATAACATTAAAATTTCATTATGTAGATGCCCCTCAGAACACTGTTATTTCGCCTCCCTCCATGGAAAGGACTGAAGAGGGTTCCATCTCAGCTGAATGTACCTCAAATGGATCGCCAAACCCAACCTTCTCTTGGGTCAAGGTCAGCACAAACCAAAATTATGGAAACACAGCAACTTTGTCCATTTCCAACATTGACCGTGGCCATGATGGTCTTTACAGATGTACAGCCACTAATGGTCAGGGGTCACAACAGGCCACGCTGGACGTCACAGTTCTGTGTAAGTGTCTCACACTATGTTTGATTTAGCGAACACTGATCTAA